AGAAGTCAAACTCTCCCTCTTCGCAGATGACATGATACTGTACATAGAAAACCAAAAAGACTCCACTCCAAGATTGCTAGAACTCATACAGTGATTCGGCAAAGTGTCAGGATACAAAAATCAATGCCCAGAAATTAGTGGCATTTCTTTACACTGACAAGGAGACTGAAGAAAGAAATTAAGGAATCAGTCCTGTTACAATTGCACCCAAAAGCATAAGATACCTAGGAATAAACCTAACCAAAGAGGTGAAGGATCTATACCCTAAAAACTACAGAACATTTCTGAAAGAAATTAAGACACAAAGAGACGGAAAAACATTCCATGCTCATGGATTATAAGAATTAATATTATGAAAATGTCTATGCTACCCAGGGCAAGTTACATGTTCAGTGCAATCCCTAACAAAATACCATGGACTTTCTTCACAGAGTTGGAACTAATAATTTTAAGATTTGTGTGGAATCTGAAAAGACCCCAAATGGCCAGGGGAATATTTAAAAAGAAAACCAGAGCCGGGGCCATTACAATGCTGGATATCAAGTTGTACTACAAAGCTGTGATGATCAAGACAATGTGGTACCATCACAAAAACAGACACATAGGTCAGTGGAACAGAATAGAGAACCCAGAAATGGGGCCCCAAAACTAATATTCAACAAAGGAAAGACTATCCACTGGAAAAAGGACAGTCTCTTCAATAAATTGGGGGAAATTGGACAGCCATGGGCAGAAGAATGAAACTAGACCATTCTCTTACACCACACACAAGAGAAACTGTAAATGGATGAAAGCTCTAAATGTGAGACAATAATCCATCAAAATCCTAGATGAGAACACAGGCAACTTTTTTAACCTGGCCACAGCAACTTCTTGCAAGATACATCTATGAAGGCATGGGAAATAAAAGCAAAAATGAATTATTTGGACTTAAGATAAAAAGCTTCACAGCAAAAGAAACAGTCAACAAAACTAACAACCCTAACAACCTACAAAATAGGAGAAGATATTTGCAAACGTCTGGTATCCAAGATCTATAAAGAACTTCTTAAACTCCATACCCAGAAACTAACAATCCAATCATGAAATGGGCAAATGACATGAACAGAAATTTCACCAAGAAGACCTACACATGGCCAACAAGCACATGAGAAAATGCTCTGCATCACTTGCCATCAGGGAAATAGAAATCAAACCACAATGAGATACCACCTCACACCAGTGAGAATGGGGAAAATTAACAATAGAGGAAACAACAAATGTTGGAGAGGATGTGGAGAAAGGGGCACTGTTGGTGGGAATGTGAACTGGTGCAGCCACTCTGGAAAACTGTGTGGAAGTTCCTCAAAGAGTTCAAAATAGAACTGCCCTACGATCCAGCAGTCACACTGCTGGGATTTACCCCAAAGATACAGATGCAGTGAAACGCCAGGACATCTGCACCCCAGTGTTCATAGCAGCAATGTCCACAATAGCCAAACTGTGGAAGTAGTTTCAGTGTCCATCGACAGATGAATGGATCAAGAAGATGTGGTCTCTATATACAATGGAATATTACTCAACCATGAGAAAGGATGCATACCTACCATTTGCTTTTACATGGATGAAACTGGAGGGTATTATGCTTTGTGAAGTAAGTCAATCAGAGAAGGACAAACATTATATGGTCTCATTCATTCGGGGGAATACAAAAAATGATAGGGATTAAAGGAGAAAGGAGAGAAAATGAGTGGAAAATATCAGTGAGGGTGACAGAACATGAGAGACTCCTAACTCTGGGAAACCAACCAGGGTAGTGGAAGGGGAGATGGGTGGGGGGGGGGTTGGGGTGACTGTGTGACGGGCACTTGATGGGATGGGCACTGGGTGTTATGCTATGTTGGCAAATAGAACTCCAATTAAAAAAATATAAAGAAAAGAAAATAGAATTACTATCTCTGGTGAATCAAACCTTCTGTCCTTGTGTGTGACTGCGTTTGTCTGCAGTTATACTTAATAATCTTAGGTCTAGTCTAATAATCTTAGGTCTAGTCTTATATTAACGTCGGTAACAGTAGCTTTCTTTAGTGTCTAGTTATTTAGTGCTTGCATGTTCTATCTTTTTCTATTTTGGTTTTAACCTTTCTAAATCTTTTAGATATTTCTCTTCTAAGTACATAGCACTGAATTTTATTTTTCAAGTAGTTGCACAGTCTATTTGTATTTAGTGGAATTACCAATATATGAGCATTTGAATCTGGTCTCTATTCATTTTCATTCTTTTTCTTTTGTACATTCTGTGGTTTTTAAAAATTATATTATTCAGTTTCTTCCATTTATTAATTTGGTGATTATTTATGCTTTCCCTGTTATTTTAGTAATTACCCAAGAAATTATAACTTGTTTTCTTCACTGACTAATGTTAAATAAAAATTGGGTGGTGGTTGTTTTGTCTTTTTTTGCCTTACTAAACATTACAAGGACCATAAAACACTCAATTTTTTCTGCTTCAGTCTTAAAAGATACCCCAAAGATAATAAAAAATATACTTAAAAGATACCCTTGTTTCTACTTTGTTTTATATTTTAATTCTCTTTTTAAACTCCATAAGCCATTATGATGATGGTGATGGTAATTACTATTATTATAGAAATTCAGTATGCATCTCTAATTTTCCATCTGAGATTAGTTTTCTTTTGCTTGAAAAATATCCTTATAATTATCCTTATAATTTCTTTTAGTAAGGGTCTGCTTGTAATGAATTTTCTGTTTTTGTCTCTAAAAATGTCTTTATTTCACTTTTATTTTTGAAGCATATGTTTAGTACAGAGTTCCATGTTAGAAAGAGCTCAGCAATTTGAATAGATCATTTCCCATTTCATTTTAAAAGTTCTCAATCTTATTGTTAACTTTACTAAAGATAATGTATTTTACTATCTCTGGCCGCTCTAAAAAATTTTATCTTTGATTTTTATCTATTTTACTGTGATGTGCTTAGATATCTTTTGTTTTATCCTGCTTAGTGTTTGTAGACCTCCTAAAATCTTGGATTGTTGACTTTCACAAATTTAAGAAAATTCTTAGCCAGTGTATCTTCCAAGAAACCATTTGTTCCATTTTCTGTCCTTTTTCTTTTGAGAGTTCAGGTACAAGTATGTTAGATTTTCTCAGAGTAGCCCCTTTTTCTGTTCCTACTGTTCTGTTGTGTATTTTCTGTTACTTTCTCTTTCATAGTTCATTCTGAATTTTTTTCTCATACTTCTAAGTCTCATTCTTTTTTCAATTGAATCCAATTTGTTATGAAATCCATCCACTGAATTCTTAATTTGTTACTGTATTTTTATTATATGATTTACATTTAATTCTTTTTAATAATTTCTAGTCCTCTGATTCTCAGTATTGTCTTTTATTTCCTTAAGTATGAGTTAGAGTTTATGTTTTAGATACTTAAATTTACTTGTGTTTTGGATTCTGATAACCTCATTGCTGTATATTCCTCATGAGTCTGTTTCTCTGTGATTTGGGCCGCATTATCTTGGAACATCATGTGTCATTCATTAATGGAAGGGTGGACTTTTACATTAAATATCACTGAAATAATTTGAGGCCATGGGAGGTACAATATTCCTGGTAGGATTTGTTTGCTTCTAACATGAATGAGGAATATTAGCAGTCTCAGATCACTTCAGTCCAGTTACTGAGATTGAGCTGATTGGAGCTGGCCCTGAGTCCTTATGAGAGCCAGCCTAATTTTGGTTTTCCTTTTCTCCGAAGGTGTGTAGCCCTTTGTGGTCTCATCTGAAAGCATGGGTGTTTACTACTACTACTCCCTACCCCTAATCATTGTTGGGCACGGAACTCTGTTTTTATACCCTCACTCCCATAAGAATAGCTTTACTGAGTTTCTTCTTAAAGTGTTATCTCCAGCATCATCTGGAAGCAACAGATCCCCTACAGGGAAGAACCTCCTCAGTACTGGTATTGATTCTTGTCTTGGATTTTGGTCCAGTAGTTTCTTGTTCATTTTTTAGCTCTCCAGTGCCTTCTGAGAGATGCTTCTGGATATGCTATCCACCTCTAATTGCTCTCAGCCAGAGTTGTTTGCATTGCTTAGTTTGCCATTACTGGAGGTAGAAGTCTTAACTTGGATTTTTAAGTAATTACGTAGGTTTGTGTTTCTTTGCTTTTGGTTCCATTTCAGTTGTTTGCCTATGGTTCCTATTTATGTCTTGTTTATAAACAACTGTTAACAATTGAATGAAATTGGGATCCCTGGGTGGCGCAGCGGTTTGGCGCCTGCCTTTGGCCCAGGGCGCGATCCTGGAGATCCGGGATCGAATCCCACGTCGGGCTCCCGGTACATGGAGCCTGCTTCTCCCTCTGCCTGTGTCTCTGTCTCTGTCTCTCTCTCTCTCTCTCTCTCTATCATAAATAAATAAAAAAAAATTTAAAAAAAAAACAATTGAATGAAATTACCAAGAATTATAGTTGGAATCACAATGGCCCAATGGTTTCTCAATCTCAGTATCTTAATTTTTTGTTTTATTTTTTAAAGCGTTTATTTGTTTTTTGACAGAGAGAGAGAGAAAGGGCCCAACCAGGGGAAGAGGACGAGGGAGAAGCAGATTCCTCCCTGAGCAGGGAGCTCAATGCAAGGCTCTATCCTAGGACCCTGGGATTATGACTTGAGCTGAAGGTGGACACTTAACCAATCGAGCTACCCAGGCGCCCCAATTTTTTGCTTTAAATTATTGTCTGGTTCAGTCTTAAAACCTTTTTAGCATCTCTTTAACTCCTGAATATTTTTATGTAATTGATAATCCAAGTCTGTGAGTAACCCAATACTCTATAGTTAAAGTTGATAACAAGTGTCTTTTTTTTTTTTAAATTAGGGTGTTTAATCGGTATACCATTAACTGCTAGCTGCTGTTAAATTTTAGGTAATATCTAAAGATTAAACTAGTATGTACGTGTCCATGGAACTGAGTAAATTTATCTGATGTGAATTTTCTTCTTTCTAGGACAATTTCTTCATGAGTAGTAAACCCCAAAGAGACAAAAGCAAGATACCTACTGGTGGTGATTCTGTACTTAGGATAAGCACCATTGCTTCAGCCATTGCAGATGCGTCAGTGAGTACTGATCCTTCCCAACTTGCTGCCATGATCAAGGCACTTTCAAATAAAACCAGAGAGAAGACTTTTAAGAAGGATAATAAACAAAAGGACTATTCCACTCTGTCTCATTTCTTACCTAGTGATACAGAAAAAAGTAGTGGCTCCAGCATGTTTGATATGGAGAAATACCTTAAAAAAACAGAAGTTAGTAGATATGAAGGTGGACTGGAAAACTTTTCAAGAGCTAGTACGTCTGATATTTGGGATTTATCTTTGCCCAAAGAACAGACTACACAAGACATCCATACAGTGGACTTAGGTGCTACTAATAAAAATATAAGGGAACCAGAAGAAAATACAGTATATACTTTTTATGGTGAAAATGGAAAGAGTGAGAATCAAGAATCATGTAGAACAAACTTTCCACATTCAATTCTTACAAATAGAAAAGAGAGTGAAAATACGGTAGTTGATGTGAAGACCTGTCCTATTGACAACAAATTACCAGACATTGGCAACTGTGAAACAGCTCCATCAGTATCCACTCCAAAATCTGATAGTTATTCATTAGTAAGGAATCCCAGGATAGCATCTGTTTGGCTGTCAGAAGAGTGTGAAGAAATACCAAATAATGGAGAAAATCAGAGGCAAAATGAATGTGCTAGTGAAGCAAGCAACAGTGAAAAACATGTGACTTTTGGAAAACATTGCATAGTTGCACCTAAAAATGTTGGTAAGTGTTGAAGTAACTGGTCATGTTCACAGAATTATAAGTGATTTTGTTGTTCTCATTGAAAAATAACACCTTTCTGATAGATTTGCAAAATTACTCTCCTGGACATGGCTCAGAGGATGACCAGGATAGCTTCAGACCTTCCTCTTCTCCACTGAATCATTCTTCTCCTAGTGAAACTTCTGGAACAAGTTTATCAGGGTAGGTGCTTACCTTTTTTTTTTTTCTTTAATAAAAATACATGTTCAGTATAAGAAAATTGGAAAAAGTGTAGAGAAGAAAAATGTCATAGGTTCATTTCTCAAAGGTAGCCATTGCAAATATTTTTTGAATTTGTTTCAAGCCATTTTTCTGTGCAAATTTATATACTTTGTTGTTTTCACTTATAATGATTCTTTGTATTTAAGAGAAAATTAGTAATGTTACAGTCTACACAGTGAATCAGTCATGGGTTATTTGATGCCTCTGGTGGATAATGGTAGATACTATATTTTACTATGTTTTGCCATTTTATTTTATTTTTTGTCTGTTTTGCCATTTGAGATGAACAACTTTGCCTATAAAATTTTTTTTGGTTTTGTCTGACTTCATAAGGCTAGATATTTAGAAGTGAAACTATTAGATTATTTTCTAAATAGGTCTTAAAGACTCATGTTCTCACCTCAGTGTATGATGAGAATATCAATCTCACTGTTTTCTTAACAGCATTTGAAATAGCTTAAAGGTTTGGATTTTTTTTATCTTGTAGTATTAATTTGATTTTTTAAGACTTGAGATTGGTAAATACTAGAAAAAGAATACTGATACTTCATAGATTTTAACTGAAGCTGTAAACTAATTTAACCATCAAATTATAAGGACTTTTTAAAACATAATTTTTAAAAATGCCATAATTTGCATTATTCAAAAACTGCATACATATATAGGTATATGTGTGTATAACTTTTGAACAATGTAAATTCATTGCTTTATGAAATGTATACATGTGTATTTATGTGTAGATGCACTCATGCACATGTGTTGTATTTTCCTTCATTACTGTGTTCCTTGTCTGCTTGTTCCTGACTCCCTTCCCACCACGGAACTGCTGTATTAGTTTCTTAGGTATTCTAGAGTTTCTTTATGCATGCATTACAAAATATAAATAAATATTCTTACTGTCCTCCCTTTTTATACTCAATATCGGGTCCTTTTCACATGTATGTTTGACTATAGAAGTCTTCATTTGTATTATAGTCACTTTGGTCATGTAAAATTGATTTATAGGGTAATTTCTCAGAAATGAGCTTCTTGGATCAAAGAGTATTTGTATGCATATTCATAGTTAGTACAACCACTCCATAAGGGTACTGATTTAGTTTTCCTACCAACAGTTTAAGAGAGAGCCTGTTTTCCCATACCCTCATCAACAGAATGTTTATAAAACTTTTTGATGGTTGACATTTTGATAGGCAAAAGAAATTAGTATCTCAGTATAACTTTAATTCATATTTTTGAGGTGTGATGGTGAGCATCATTTCCTCTGTATTTGCTATGACTATCCATGTTTGTTGCTCCTTTTTTTCATGGATTTTTAGTCTTTTTGTGGTCTCCATTTCTAGGAACGCTTGATGTATTAGGGAGAATGAATAGCCCTTTGTAAAGAAGGAGTTATAGTTCCAAGTCTTTAGAAGTATTTTTTTTTTTGTTTTACTTTGCTTGTAGTTTTTTGCCATACAGAAAGTTGATTATTAAATTTACAAATTTTGTCTTTTATGGCTTTTTTTTTTCTTTTTTGAAGAAGGCAGGGAGGGAGAGAGAATCTTAAGCAGTCTCTATGCCCAGCGTAGAGCTTGATGTGGGGCTCAGTCTCACAACCCTGAGATCATGACCTGAACCAAAATCAAGAGTCAGACACTGACTGAATTACCTAGGTGCCCCTCTTATGGCTTTATAAAAGATTTTTATATGTTTCCCTATTGCAAGATTTTAATTAATAGAAAAACTTACCTAAACAGTGAAATTACCAAAAATGTTCAGTAATTAGAAACAGGTTGAAATTAAATCTGATTTCAAAGTTACCTTGTAAGTTTTTCCCTATTTGCCATTGGAGTTTTGCATATTTATCTGAAGTGGTACAGGTAAGCTAGAACTATTAGTAGAGGGCTAAAATTCTTTCCTGTTTCAGTGACACTTAACACTTTTTCATATGCACAGCCTCCACTTAACAGTTTATGTGTGTAAGACATTAGAAATCATCTAGCCCAACCAAATTTGAAGGTTATCTGTCCTTGACTTGTCATGACTGCTGTCATCTACTGGTTTTTCTTCGTCTCCCCTCTAATAATTGTAAAGTTATCTGAGCATTTATTTTTGTACTGTTTAAATATGCTTCTGCTTCTGACACTTGCTTTGCCAGTTTTTAAATGATATTCTTTGAGTCCCATTTTATTAGTTTCCCATGGCTGCCATAACAAAGTGTCACAAACTGGGTGGCTTAACACAACAGAAAGTTATTGCCTCACACTCTGTAGGCTGGAAATTCAGGCCATGTTCTCCCTGAAGCTTTTAGGGAAGGGGATACCTGGCTGGTTCAGTTGGTAGAGCCCGTAATTCTTGATTTGAGGGTTGTCAAGTCTAGCCCCTTGTTGGGTGTAGAGATTACTTACGAATAAATCCTTTCAACTGAAGCTTTTACAGGAGAAACCTTCCTTACATCTTCCAGCTTCTGGTAGTCGTAGGCATCCATTGGTTTGTAGACAAACTAATCTGTCTCTGTATTCCCATTGGATTAAGGGCCCAGTCTATTCCACTTTGATCTTATTTTAACTAATTACATCTGCAGTGACCCCATTTCCAAATAAGGTCCGTTTACCTTAATACCATTCTGAAGTATCGGGTCTTAATACTTAAACATTTTTTTGGGAAATACTCAACCCATAATAGCATCTTTGGCCAATGACACAATTAAGGAGCTCATTCTCATGTTCTTTCCCTTTCCACCTTTTTCTTTTTTAGTTATGTAATTTCTACATTGGCATTTCATTTACTTTTTGATTCATCACCATATCCTACACTTGTTTAATTTCTATTCTGTAGTTAAATATATTCTTTTCTAGCCATCAGGTGTTCCCCCCCCCCCCCCCCCGCCCCAACTGACTAAAGTTTGTACTGTGGTCGTTTACTCAGAGGACGGAGGGAACGGTACTCACTAGGCTCTTTTATGTTCCACGGTTAAACTGTGGCTTTTATAATGAAAGCATAGCAGGCTGTGTTTCAAATTGTTTGCTTCTGCTTTCATCCCATATATATATATTTTTTTGTTTTGTTTTGTTTGTTTGTTTTTTGTAGGGATTGTTTTCCTGTTTCTTTGGAATGTAAGAGGGAAATCTGAGGCACCCCAGTTCTTCTTGCCTCACAATTGACTTGATTTTTTTTTTTTTGTAAGCTTCTGCCAAAGATGCTCTCTTTCAAGTCTAGTTTAATTTGATTAGGCTGTATTTCTTGTTGACTCTTAATGATTACTCTTCAATATATGGATTTGAGCATTTATTTATTAAGGAAAATTTGCTCCAGCCCCCAGACTCCAGTGATGCATATGTGGGATCTGTTTTGCTTGACTTCGGCATTTATTGTCTCTTTAATCTGTTAAGAACTACTATTTTGGAAAAATTATAGATCCACAGGACGTTACAAAGATCTTACAGAGGGGTTACCATTTCCCCTAGCAGTTACGTCTCCCATCATTAATGGTGTCTGCACCAGGAACTTGTCCTGGGTACAGTGTCATGTTATCACAGATGTGAATTCATGTAACTGCCACCCAAAAATCAGAGATACAGAACTTCAGCATCACCACAGTGATCTGCCTCTTTATTGGTTTCATCTTGTTTGCATTTCACATTTTAATCTCTTCATTCCTTACAGTGTTTTCTGCAGTGTTCTTTCCTCCTGCGTACTTTCCAGTTTTATCTTGTTTTCTGTGGTTTTGGTATTTCTTAAATTGTATATGAAGGCATTTAATAAAAACTCTGAAGTACTCTTATCTAAAGCCTTCCATTATTACTGTTTTCCTTCACACTGCTCTTAGAGGCAGAATGCTGGCTGGCTGGTCTTACTCTTGGACCCACCTGATTTTGTGTGTATGTGTGTGTGTGTGCGTGTGTGTGTGCACTTCTAAGAAAATTATCTATTATGTGTAAGAAAGAGACCTTAGGGAGATACTGAAGTTTCTCATGAACTTGGTATATGTTCAGATATTTTTAATGAGGGCATGATGTTTAACCTCTCTGGAGTGACCATGGAATTGATTAACTAGCCAGGAACCTGCACCCCCAACTCTTAGTGTGGGGCAAAACCACAGGACATAATGGGAAAAGGCCAATTTAGAAGAGCATAAGTGTGCTCTGAATTAAAATCACCGAGGAAGATGAAACGAGAGTGATGAGATGTTGCTGAGTTTCTCAGCATACGTGTTTTGCTACTATAGCCACTAAAGCAAATAAATACCATTGGAGATCTCTCCATCAGTCTCTGGCCTGTAGATTAACCCATGAATCATTTTGGGGTGTGGTTTAGTCTACTAGCATGCTTACTGTCAGGTTTCTGGCTCATTCCTAACCTAATTTTAGGCTTTCACATTATGCATTGTTAGGTTTTTACTGATGTATAATTAACATACAGTGAAATACACAGATCTTTGGGGTTTCATTCAGTGTTTCTGGACACTTACATACCTGTTTAAAACCACCACCTAAGGGATCCCTGGGTGGCGCAGCGGTTTGGCGCCTGCCTTTGGCCCAGGGCGCGATCCTGGAGACCCGGGATCGAATCCCACGTCAGGCTCCCGGTGCACGGAGCCTGCTTCTCCATCTACCTATGTCTCTGCCTCTCTCTCTTTCTCTCTCTGTGACTATCATAAATAAAAAAAAAAAAAAAAAAAAAAAAAAAAAAACACCACCTAAGATATATAGGACATATACGTCCCCCGCCATTCACAGTCCTTTGCTATTTTCATGTCAGTTGTTCCTCCTTCCCCACCCCCACTCAACCACTCACTTTTTTTTTTTTTTTAACCACTCACTTTCTGGTTTGTATCATCATAATTTAGTTTTGGCTCTTACTACATTTAAATGGAATCGTACATTTTTCTGTGTCTAGCTTCCTCTGCTTAACATATTTCTGAGATTCATCCTTGGTTACCTGTACCAGTAGCTCCTGGTGCTCATTGCTGTTGGAGCACACTGTCAAGTGACTGTGGCTGTGCTGTGTATCTGTTCTCCTGTTGCACAACATGCATTGTCATGTAAGCCTCATTTCCAGGCCTGTTTATTTAGGTTCCTATTGCAGCTTTCTCTCCTTTTTCCCTTATCACCTTGAAATGCCTCTGTCAGTTTCTTAGTTGGTTTTCCAGGATTATAATAAACTGTATACACAGTTAATTTCTTCAGCTGAGGAAGTTTTTTGTTTTCTGTTACTTTTGGTAATTGGCTGGGTTCCACCTATTCTTTCTTCCTTTTGAGAACCCTGGTTTCCCATTAGTTAACATTCCCTTCTCTGGTCATTTATGACTGTTTTCCCTAATTTTCATTTTTTATACATTCACTCTACTGTGGGTTAGCTGCTCAAGAGTTTATTCTCTGTATCACTGATTTTTCTGTAGCATCAATTGCACTTTTTATTGCTGCCAGCATAGACTTTGATTTTGTATTTATTTTAATTGAAGTCCTCCTTTACTTTTTAATTATGGTAAAATGAGTGTGATTTATTTTTTTGAGTGTGATAATTTTATTCTTTTTCTCTGGTTTCTGCCAACTGGTATTCTTGAGTGTTGTGTGTGTTTTAGATTATTGATTTGAGATAGAGAAGTGCACAGATGGGGTTGGAGTGGGGAGGGGAGGGGCAAACAGAGAGGGAGAAACAGATTCCCCACTGAGCAGGAAGCCTGACTCGGGGGCTTGGTGCCAGGACCCTAAGATCATGACCTGAGCTGAAGGCAGATGCTAAACTAACGGAATCACCCAGGCTCCCCTAAGTAGTAGTTGTTTATATTCACAATATACTGTTGGTCAAAATTTTCATCTCTTCAGTGGCAACATTTTTATGGTAAATGTACTTTATCTGATAAGTTTTGCTGCTCATTAGCATTCCTTTTAACTAGCTGGTCTTCCAGCTGGTTTCCAGCAGGTGCATAGAGGCGACATAGGCCTTCAAGTTCCAGAAACACCTTGGTATCTGTGTGGCTGACACCTTGGCAGTTGTGAATTCCTTTGAAGTTTGACATCTCAACTAAAATTTCTCTTTATTTCCATGTTCGTTTGTTTTTTTTTTTTTCAGCAGGGGAAAGGCAGAGGGAGAGGGAAAGAATCTTAAGCAGGCTCTATACCCACGCAGAGCCTGATGTGAAGCTTGATCTCACAATCCTGAGGTCATGACCTGAGCTAAAAACAGGAGTTGGATGCTTAACTGACTGAGCCACTCAGGAACCTCTATTTCCAAGTGTTCTGACGGTGCACTTCTCATTACTTGAAATAATACACCCAAAATGCATTTGTTCCTTTCAGTCAAAGGAACTAGACTAGCACCTAGGTGGCTCAATTGGTTAAGCATCTGCCTTTAGCTCATGTCGTGATCCTGGGGTCCTGGGATCCAGCCCCGCTTCTCCCTCTCCCTCTGCCCCACTCATGTTCTCTCTCCTCTCTCTTATTCATTATTCTCTTTCTCTCAAGTAAATAAATAAATAACTTTTAAAAAATAACTAGACTAATATACCACATTACCCCAATAACTTAGAATTTTTTGTATCGTGTGTGTGTGTGTGTGTGTGTGTGTGCGCGCACACATCTGTGTGCATATGGGAACCCATGTGGATACATGTCATGCAGAAGCTAAAATAGGCCTGAAGCAATTTGGTTAATATTCTGTCTCCGTTGGTTAGAAATTAACTAACTAGATTTTGTCAATACCACTGTGTTGATTTGGGGCTTTTTAAAAATCCAGAATTCAGAATGAGACTTTCTTTGTGTTTGTTGCCCAGCTTAGTATTATGAACTTTGTGCAAAAGAAGGGTTTTGGTAAAATTCTGTCCAATAAGGGCTGAATTGAAACTAAATGGCAGAGTGTACATGCAGCAGGTGCAGCAGCTGACATCGGCTGCAGTGCTTCCTGTCTGTTGGGACTGTGCCATTCTCTTCAGGTGGTGCTGCCTCTTTCCTCTCCTTGCGTCGGGCTGGGTTGACCCTGTGCTGGGGATTGGCTCACAGAAGGTGGTGTGTATATGAGATAGATGTGGGATCTAACTATATTTGTTGTTTTCTAATCTTTTTTTTTTTTAATGTCCTAAACATCTTTCGGAGTCAAGGGATAGTACTCAACAGCATAATTTAAAATAGCTGAATAGTGTTTTATTGCATGTTTGTGCCATAATAGCCTAATTTCTCTTACATGTTAATACCTATCCTTTTGGCAAAATCTTTATGGTTAGCATTGATTTCCCCTAATTAATTTTAGGATTAATTCCTAGACTTAGAATGTCGGAGTCAAAGTGGCTTTGATATGCATTGCTTAATTGCTCAGTCAGAAGTTGTCCCACTTCATATTCCACTCAGCAATGTACAACTGATTTCATTTCTTTGCACTTAAGTACGTGATTCTTTGTTTTCATCTGTGCTCTTTGAGGTCAGGAACTTTTGAATGCTTGACTTGATGCTTTATATCAGGTATTCAATAAGTGTTTATCAAATGAATAGCTAACATTGTTAGGCAACTATATATGAGGTTTATTAATGAAAATGCCACAGCCTTGGGACGCCTGGGTGGCTGAGTGGCTGAGTATCTGCCTTTGGTTTGGTGTGTGATCCCAGAGTCCCACATCAGGCTTCCTATATGGAGCCTGCTTCTCCCTCTGCCCATGTCTCTACCTCTCTCTCCCTGTATCTTTCATGAATAAATAAATAAAAATATTTTTTAAAAATGCCACCAAAATAAATAAATAAATAAATAAATAAATAAATAAATAAATAAAAATTTAAAAATGCCACAGCCTTTTTCTTTTATTATAGTTTACCAAGTACTTCATTCAATAGGAATATGATTTAGAATTTAAGATAATTAAGACTGAAAATCTATGGTTGAGTTATCATATATGGCAGCTAGAGCAGAGACTAAGATTAACAAGCCCATTGGGCAGGCAGAAATGGCTTTTTGTTAGTGTAGATAAAGTTAGATAAGGGAATGGAAAACTAATCATGAGATGTTCGCCCTTTCAGGTGTGCTTTAGAGTCTTTTGGTTCAGCAGCTCCTCAGAAGCCCCCCTGTGAGAGTGAGTCATCTCCATTGGTGTGTCCACAAGCCAGTGTGAGTAGGCTGACTTACGTGTCTGAACAAGAGAGCACCTGTCCCACTACAGCCTCAGATCATGGCCTTGAGGATCGCAAGGTGGGCAGCATTTCTGTTATTTCTTTAGGAAGGCTTCTGGCTTTAAAGTGATACCGATGTAGCAGTCAGACTGCAGTTTAGGCCTGTGTAATTTCTGTTGCTTGTTTTACCTTTAAAACGTGTGTGTGTGTGTGTGTGTGTGTGTGTGTGTGTTTTGATCAAATAACTACTCATGCTAATAGGCAGTAGAAGTGCAGCTCTTTCGTATCTGCTCTCTAAAATCTTTCAGTCTGGTGGAGGGTACTTGCCAGGCACACTGGAATGAAGTATACTGTGATCCACCTATGCTGTGGGATTTAGAGGGAGGTAACTACAAATCTGACTGGACCTGATGATGGTTCAACAGAGCTTTATGGAGGGATAAGTAATGTATTGAAGCTGTATTTTGTAAGACTACTTGGCAGGGAGGAAGTAGACAAACAAATGGGGGAAGGTATGGAGTTGTAAAATAAACACTGCGTTTGAAGGACCCCCCGGAAGTTTGGAATGTCTGCAGTGAATTGTACATGGTGAAAGGAGGAAAGGCCAAATGTGAAGAGTCTTGTATGTAAAATTTGGGAGTTCGAAGGCATAAGCAGGACACTGATGTGATCTGTGTTGATGTTTAATTTTTTATTTTTATGTTTTGAAGACTTTATTCGAGAGTAAGGGAGTGCAAGCATGTGCATGAGTGACTGCAGGAGCCAATGTAGGGGAAGGGAAGAGGCAGAGGGAGAGGAAGAAGCAGGCTCCCCCCTCAGCAGCTCTACCCCAGGACCCTGGGATCATGACCGGAGCTGAAGGCGTGTGATTAACCGACTGAGCCACCCAGGCACCTCTGTGTTGATGTTTTAAAAGCTCATGGCACTGGCACTGTGGAGGAGGCATTAAGCAGGGGCAAGATTACAATCAGGAGACTTTGACACGAGGCTGCTATAGTCAGGCAAGACGTGGTGTGAGCATGGATTAAAGTAGTGGCAGTGGGGTTGGGAGAGAAGCAGGTAGATCTGAAAGATATATGTGTGAGAAACTAGACATTTACTTATTTTTATTTTTTAAAGATTTTATTTATTTGAAAGAGGGAGAGAGAGAGAACATGAGCAGGGAGAGGAAGAGGGAGACACAGGCTCCCCGCTGAGCAGGGAGCCCGATGCAGGGCTCAATCCCAAGACCTTGGGATCATGACCTGAGCTGGAAGCAGACACTTGACCAACAAAGCCACCCAGACACCCCGAAGCTAGACTTTTATTATCTATGTGTCTGTTTGTGAATATGACAGTATTCAATTTTTTAGTGGGCTGAATATGAATATGGTATGCAACATAGCTCTACTCCACCGAGCCCTTACTAAATATATCCAGTAAAGTTACTATATGTATGGTGTCATGTTGGACAAATCATTGAAAGCCATCTTTTTGATGATGCTGTTGAGCGTTGGGTCTCTGTATTCTTAGCTTGTGGTTTTATAGGCTGAGTTGTAGTTACATGGACTCTGCTACTTTCTGAGATAAACTGTAACTTCACCAAGCTTGTTTCTTCATCTATGAGGAGGGACAGTGATATGATAACAGGGCTTGGTACCAGGAAGTTACACTGAATACATGCTGGTGGTTATTTATTTTTATTGATTGGTTGATGATATCTGGCAAATAATCTCAGCTTTGTTTATTAATGTCTCTATGTGGTCTAAAAGAAATTTTCAAACCAAGTGCAGAGAATAGTCTGTTAGTTGCATCTTACATGTCAATTCCAGTTGGTCTACCCTGCAGCCTGTAGACTTCACTCCTAAGGTGATGCATTATAATGAAATAAGTATATGAACGTTGACTGTGGCTATTCCTTCTTATCTAAGAAGACAGAAGAACCACATAATCTTAGGCACTGGAACAGACTTAGTGCTCATAGAAATTAGCATCTTCCAGTGTAACAGCAGCATAGACAAAAAATGGGAGTGGGGAAGCTTATGAGCTCTATTGATTTTTCCTGAGCTCGTGTCAGCTTCATTTGAAAGCTTGCTCAGCCTCCACTCCTGTGTTACTAATTTATTTAGATTTTTATTATATATTTTCCAGGAAAACAGCCCCTAAATTTGAATGAAAGTAATTATCTCGTCCTTTGTCTATATAAATTTGTCAGAGATATAATTGCTATGTATCTCCTCTATAGTCTCCTCATAATTATTTCTGTGAAACAATAACTGCACTTTCTGAATCTAGAATTTCACAGCTGCAAAAAGTTGGCCTTTTTTTTTGTCAGAGTTTATGTCCTGTAGATCTCTTCTTTATTTGAGATTATATCAGGATGCTTTGAATTTGTGATAGTTCATGGATTATTTAACTTTTTTTTTTGTCACACACAGAGTGATGTCACCAGTGAATTGACCAGCACAATTATTCAAGCCAGTCCAGTTCCATCAGAGGAACGGGCTATGGAAAAGCAGAGAGAAAAAGGTCTGTTTCAAAGTAGAAGTAAAGTAGCACTGTCCTATAATCAGAAAAACGCAGATACAGACAATGTGACTGAAACGACTTCTCTGAGTAGCAGACCTGAAGATGTAAAGCCTTACTTCAGGTTGGATAAAGGTCTTTCCTCCAAAAGTGGAGACCTATCAGAAACTGGTGCAGTAGGGTTGACCTCTAAACCCAGTGAATTGGACCAGATCAGCCTGGGTCTACTGAGCAAGTCAGGTCTCACCCACCCAGTTGTGTCAACGATGCCACACCTCCCTATTTCACACCAGGCGTTTGTGAACAAAGATGAAAGAGTAGCCTCTGAAGATATGTTAACTGCTGGAAGTGCAGTAAGTGGCCAGATTCCTCATTGGATGGCCCCTGGAAACCAGGGCGCCCCTGTTCCCAGCACTATGCCTTGTAGCTCTGCTCCTGAGATGGAGAACATGCTCACTGCAGTTCCTACACTCTTGACTCAGCATTCTTTTACCACAGCTCCCTTAGCCCAGCAGTATTTGGGAACACTGCCTCAGTGCCAGGCTGGCAGTGCCACCGTCTGTGGATTCTCAGGAAGCTGTCCATATCCTGCTGTTGCAGGAGAACATGTTCAGAACTCTGTGGCCATGGGAATTTGTCTAGGACAAAATATCGGCTCTGGATTGATGGGTGCCTCTTCCCTTTACAACCCATATTCTAACACCTTAAATCAGAATCTTCTAAGTACAGCAAAACCTTTTCCTATGCATCCTGTTGGTACAAATTGTGGAATTGAACCATGGGATTCAGGAATACTGTCAGGATTTGGTAAGATGTTTTTTCTTGGTTATTGCTTATTGTTGCTTGCTATTATTTAAAAATTGAGTTTTGTCGGGCTCCCTGCATGGAGCCTGCTTCTCCGTTTGCCTGTCTCTCTCTCTCTCTCTCTCTCTCTCTCTCTCTCTCTCTCTCTCTCTCTTTCTCTCTCTGTGTCTCTCATGAATAAATAAATGAAATCTTTAAAAAATAAAATAAATAAAAATAAAAACTGAGTTTTCTCAAACGAGACCACAAAATGAGTTTGTTTCAAGAAGATACTGGTTGGTCTGAATTTCTCTTAATTTTATTCTTTGTCCTAAATTGAGAACACAGACCATAATATATTTCTGTGCAAGGGTCCCTAACATGGCCTTAGAAAAACACAAACACTTAATACAAGTGAGACTCTCAGTGCTTTTGTCTTCCTGTCTCTCCTGTACTCTGTACTTAGATTTCTGTTACTCTTTCGACTAGGAACGGTCCAGTTTAGAATTGACTCCCTGGAGAAGTGAGTCTCTTCCCACTTTTTAAAGGCTTTGGGGGATGACAGTTGTGAGAGGCAGCACCCTTCCACACTTGTCTGCAGTGGCTGAAATCCCCCCTGGATTCTTCTGCTAGGGACAGCTGCTCTAAGCGGAGCTGGGTGCTATGCTTTCACACAGTGCACATGACCACTGGTATTCTGTCCTCGTCTCTACCCCCATTTTCTTCTCAAGGAAATTCCGGTTATTGCATAAGAGTGGAGAAAAGATTGGTCTTATTAAAAATCTGGCTAGATGTAGACCTTCAAAATTAGAGCTCTCTGTAGTTTCTTTTTTTTTTTTTAATTTTTATTTATTTATGATAGTCAGAGAGAGAGAGAGGCAGAGACACAGGCAGAGGGAGAAGCAGGCTCCATGCACCGGGAGCCCGATGTGGGATTCGATCCCGGGTCTCCAGGATCGCGCCCTGGGCCAAAGGCAGGCGCCAAACTGCTGTGCCACCCAGGGATCCCCTCTCCGTAGTTTCTTAACAGGTTAAGTGTAGTGGCTTATATTCGTGGTAGAAAAAAGGGAGAGATTACTAATAGGCAATAACATCGAAGAATTGATTGGCTGTAAATTGTGGTTTGATCAGTTGTACTTGTTCTTCCTGGGCTGGATATAATGGGAAAAAAATTGTTGGCCTATGCTGAGGCTTATACAAGGTCAAGGACTCCTACAGCGGCAGGGCACTTGATATCATAGCTCTTGGGTGTCAACAGGTAGTCTCATGTAAAAATTTCCATCCATCCAGTTGTGCTTTTAATCAGGTGTTTTGCTATAACCTGCATTTGACCATGCTTTATCTTTACCCAGGGAAGGTAAGAGTACCTGAAGAACTGAAGTTTCCTCATGCTTGCTGTGTTGGCATTGCTTCACAGACCTACCTTAGTGTACTTAATCCAGCTGACCGCTGGCTACAGGTCAGCATTGGGGTTCTCACCATTAGTATCAATGGTGAAAAGGTAAGCTTTCTGCGTTTTTCGCCTTTGAATTAGTAATTGCGTTATGATTAATGCTGGATTTCTCTCTAGTACTACCTTTCATAAGGGTGGGGGGAGGTCCTGTTCTCCTATCCTTGTATGCCTTGCACAGAATCATTGCAGTGGTGTATAGAAGAATAACATATCTTTTTCTTAACCCTCTCCTTTTGTTGTAGTACGTTCAGAATTGAAATCTGAATTTGTTTCTCATTTTTCTATTGGTTACTTCTTATATTTGGTTATTTATTCATCAGACCATGTAAATGTTCTTTTAGTGCTATTTAAACCACTGAAAGGTATGATTTCTGTTATTTGTCGGTTTTGTTAAATATGATTGAATATAAGTTACCATCACTTACCAAAAAAAGTTACTCTTGGGATCAGTTGACTTCATACAGTAAATGGAGTCTTTTTGACATTTATCTGATCACGTTCTTACATGATCTTCTTAATTACCTGGAAATACAATTTTAACATTAACTCTTAAAGCAAGGGTCACTCACATGATTAGCTAGAGGTGCTAAAGTACAATATTCTAAATCTCCTTTCACGATTAGAGTGACACGTGTGGACATGGTAGGTGGGGATGTGGCAGATGGTCAGCAACTCCTGTTTTAGAATGTCCTGGTTTTGTGACTGCTGCTTGCAGATGAGTGTTGGTGGCTGAGTTTATTTTTTCCCTCTTACCTCCCAGTAATAACCCTTATTTACCTGGCAAAATGAGATGGTGTCTACTCACCATCTTCCCTTTTCCTGGTCTGTCTTCTCTAGTCCTGAGCTCAGATGGAAAGTGTGTGATTGGAGGAAAATGGTAAGGGTGAAAGGTGAAGCTGCAGGCCCTTTTCGAGGTGTGTAAGAATTAGTGTTGCCTCTGAGTGTGGGCAGAAAGAATGCTCTTGTGTACAGTGAGGAGGGAGGGTTTGCAGCAAGTTGTAATCATGCCCTTAGAGGCCTGATGAAAACCTCGGAGGTCAGTCTAATCCCCCTGATTGTACAGCTGCAGACACCAGCTCTGGATGACGTGTGGGGCCTGGAGTACTGCTGTTTCCAGGAGCTTTTGCAGTGTAAGTGAGGGTATAGACCTTGTGTTTACTTTAAAACAGATGAGGGAACACATTCAACTCATCTTCCTAAGTCTTCGTGATTTTAGCTAATTGTGCTTTACAGATAATGAGTTACAGGACTTGGATATTTTGGAAGAGGTCATAAATTTTCGGATTTGGTAGTTTGAGTGGGGAAAAAAGGGATCTTAAACTCGTTGATTCTAATTCTTGATTCTCCTTGTGAAGCCATTTCTTTATGAACTGTGTGGCTCTTTTTTTTTAAAGGTGGATCTTTCAGCATATCCTTGTTTAGTCTTCAAGAATAAAGTCATCATAAGACCTCATGCCACGGAAGAGATAAAAGTACTTTTCATACCATCTGATTCTGGGATTTTCAGATGTATATTCAGTGTTGCTTCTTGGCCATTTTCAGCAGATGCTGAGACCATAGCACAAGCAGAAGCCTTGGCAAGCCGAGTCATTCTCACGGCTGTTGCGGAGACCCCTGTGATCGAGGTAACTACTTGTAAGCAGGTCTCTGTCATACCTGGCATTTGAATGACGGCTGTTTAATCTTAGAAGTAATATTTGGGAAAATTGAATATGTGGGTAAATACCACCACAATATTATTTTCAAGCTAACCATTGGTTCTTAATATCTTCTTATTTTAGAATTTAAAATTATTTATTTTGCAGAAACAAAATATACTTGCTAGATGTATTAGTTTGGAGTATTCTGAAAAGTCACTAGACATATTGGGTTATTTTATTTTATTTTTTAACTTTTTTTTTTTTTTAAGATTTTATTTATCCATGAGAGAGAGAGAGAAAGGCAGAGGGAAAAGCAGGCTCCACGCAGGAAGCCCAATGTGGGACTCAATCCCGGGACCCTGGAATCAAGCCCTGAGCTAAAGGCAGATGCTCAACTGCTGAGCCATCCAGGCGTCCTGGGTTATTTGTTTTAAAGGAGACTAAGAAATGTAACCAGTGATATCCCTCATGCTATATGTAAACATTAGATGTTCTGTGTTAGCTTTTTATTTTTAATTTTTTATTTTGTTTAAAGATTTATTTAAGTAATCTCTGTAACCAATTTGGGGCTCAGATTCACAACACCTGAGATCAAGTTCCCTGCTCCAGTGACTAAGTCAGCCAGGTGCCCCTTATTAGCCTTTTAAATATCACTTTAAGAAACAACACAGTAAGTGGTTAGGGAAAAATCTTGAATATATGTATATAGAGAAAATAAGAACAGCTGCCCTGTGTTACATGAATGCATGTTCTAACTTGTAATGTTTAGTGAATCACATCATATAGGGATTTTAAAAAGTGTTGTCATGTCAATTTGGATGGACATGAGGACTAAGCTTTGTCTCTAGTGATGAAGTCACCAGTGTTGATGATCTTCCAGAGTTTGAGTACAGTTGTTTTCTCCCTGGAGTACTTCTCCCATACACTCTCTCACTTTTTCTAGATATCACCTCATACTGTTGATAGAATGGCAGTTCCCCTCTGGCCCCTCATCCCCACACACTTACCTCCTCCCTTTGGCTCACTTTACTTCTCTGCTTAGCATTTTCAGCGGTGATATACTAAATACTTACCTGTTTATTGTCTGATCCTCCTTGCCCCCACTAGAGTGTAAGCTGTTTGGGGATCAGGACATGTGTCTCTTTTGTTCCCTTCCAGAATAGTGCTTGGCACATAGTAGGGGCTCAAATAATAGTTGCTGAACTGTTTTTGGACAGAAGGTGGAAATAGCAATACTTCTAAATGTATATGGTTTTTGAAATATTGTATTACATATTACATATATGTGTACCAAGACCAGGGAATATAGTCAGCGGTTTCATCCATATTGTTAAAGATGTATGTATTAAGTCTGGAAGGAAGACATTATGGATTGTCTCTAGGGGAAATTGGATCGTTACATGTTTTAATGTATATTTATAGTTTGGGGTATTTTTTTGAGATTTTATTTTGAGAAAAAGCACGTTTGCACGAGTGGAGGCAGGGGCAAAGGAAGAGGGAGAGAATGTCAGGCAGATTCTGTGCTGAGTGCAGAGCCTGACATGGTGCTTGATCTTACAACCCGGAGATCATGACGTGAGCTGAAACCAAGAGTTGGACACTTAACTGTCAGAACGACCCAGGTACCCCAAAAGTACATTTATAGTTTCCAAATTTTTTAGGGATGTTGCAGCTGCCTCTCCTCTTCACACTCCCCACATTGGAGTCAGAATATGGGTTGGGGGGGAGGAGAGAGATTACATGGCGTAGTATGTGTTGGATTTATGTTAGTATTTGTGTGCTTGAAAAGAATGGCTTCTGAGTGCAGAATTCTTTCATATGTCCTTTAGCTCTGATTTGGTACTGTGTGGTTCCAGTCTTCTATATCATTATTAATATTTCTGTGTACTTACTCTTTTGGCCTCTGAGCGATGTGTTTGTGGATTTGTCTATTTCTCCTTATAATTCCATTGATGTTTGTCTTGGGTATTCTGAGATCTGAGGTTTTGTGTATTTAGACTCTAGATATTTTTATCTTCTAAGTGAAATCATTCCATTTATTTTATGTTTTTAAATATTTATTCATTCATTCATTCATTCATTCATGATAGACATAGAGAGAGAGAGAGAGAGAGAGAGGCAGAGACAGGCAGAGGGAGAAGCAGGCTCCATGCCGGGAGCCTGACGCATGACTCAATCCCGAGACTACAGGATCGCGCTCTGGGTCAAAGACAGATGCTAAACTGCTGAGCCACCCAGGGATCCCTGAAATCATTCCTTTTTAAAATAGCAGTTCTCTTTCATCTTTCTTTTGCATCTGTATTAGTTTCGAAGTTACACATTTCTGTTCCCTTTTTATTCAAACTGGTTATTCAGTCTAAAATTAATTAACAGCTCTGTTCTAGCCCAAACAACACAAAAAGCTACAGTTATTTTAATGCTGATCTTTTCTTTCTGTAATATCTTTCATTAATATTTTAGTCCCAAATGGTTTCAAAATCCCAACATTGAACTTTTTTTAACAGACTGATCAAGCACATTATATTCTTTTTAAATGGTTTTAAAATCCCAACATTGAACTTTTTTTAACAGACTGATCAAGCTCATTATATTCTTTTTGTGCTCAACATTGTGTCTTGAATCTTCTGTTTTTATCTTTTTCATAGACTCTATTATCTGTATTTAAAATATACTTACAATTCAGATTATTTGTAGTTCCTCAGGTGCTGATTCTTCTGCTAGTTTTGCCAGGTCTTCCCGATTACTTTCTTCATGTAGTTCTATTTTTTTTTTAATTTTTTTTTTAGGTTTTTTTTTTTTTTAGTTCTAATTTTTGAATTGATATTTAAATTTTTAAAATGTGAGTTCACCTCACGGAGGCTGCTCATTACTATAGAAATCCCACATGTCTTCGTTTTTTGAAGTGTCTGTAGAGCGGTTTGTATAACTTTGGTGGGTACTAAAGGTCTCAGTGATTTTCTTTCTTTCCTTTTTTATTATTTTATTGAAGTTCAATTTCCCAACATATACTAGAACACCAACTACTCATCCCATCAAGTGCCCTCCTCAGTGCCCGTCACCCCAACCCACTGCCCACCTCCCGTCCCACTACCCTTTGTTTGTTTCCCAGAGTTAGGAATCTCTCATGGTTTGTCACCCTCTCTATTTTCCCCACTCAATTTCCCTCCTTTCCCTTATAATCCGTGTCACTGTTTCTTATATTCCCCGTATGAGTGAAACCATATGATGATTGTCCTTCTCCAATTGACTTATTTCACTCAGCATAATACCCTCCAGTTAAATCCACGTTGAGGCAAATAGTGGGTATTCGTCCTTTCTGATGGCTGAGTAATATTCCATTGTACATATAGACCACATCTTCCTTATCCATTCATCTGTCGATGGACACCGAGGCTCCTTCTACAGTTGGTCTATTGTGGACATTGCTGCTATAAACATTAGGGTGCAGGTGTCCTGCCATTACACTGCATCTATATCTTTGGGGTAAATCCCCAGGAGTGCAATTGCTGGGTCGTAGGGTAGCTCTAGTTTTAACTCTTGAGGAACCTTCACATTGCTTTCCAGGATGGCTGTACCAGCGTGCATTCCCACCAACAGTGCAAGAGGGTTCCCCCTTCACATCCTCTCCAACATTTGTGGTTTCCTGCCTTGTTAATTTTCCCCATTCTCAGTGGTGTGAAGTGGTATCTTATTGTGGTTTTCATTTGTATTTCCCTGATGGCAGGTGATGTGGTGCATTTTCTCATATGCTTGTTGTCCATGTGAATGTCTTCTTTGAAGAAATTTCTGTTCATGTCTTCTGCCCATTTGATGATTGGATTTTTTGTTTCTTGGGTGTTGAGTTTAATAAGATCTTTATAGATGTTGGATACCAGCCCTTTATCTGCTATGTCATTTGCAAATATCTGTAGGCTTTTAGTTTTGTTGACTGTTTCTTTTGCTGTGCAGAAGCTTTTTATCTTGATTACGTCCCAATAGTTCATTTTTGCTTTTGTTTCCCTTGCATTCCTAGATGTATCTTGCAAGAAGTTGCTGTGGCCAAGTTCAAAGAGTGTTGCCTGTGTTCTCCTCTAGGATTTTGATGGATTCTTGTCTCACATTTAGATCTTTCATCCATTTTGAGTTTATCTTTGTGTCTGGTATAAGAGAATGGTCTAGTTTCATTCTTCTGCCCATGGCTGTCCATTTTTCCCAGCCCCATTTATTGAAGAGACTGTCCTTTTTCCAGTGGATAGTCTTTCCTGCTTTGTTGAATATTAGTTGACCATAGAGTTGGGGGCCCATTTCTGGGTTCTCACTTCTGTTCCATTGATCTGTGTGTCTGTTTTTGTGACAGTACCACACTGTCTTGAAGATCACAGCTTTGTAGTACAGGTTCAAATCGGCATTGTGATGCCCCCCAGCTCTGGTTTTCTTTTCAATATTCCCCTGGCTATTCGGGGTCTTTTCTGATTCCACACAAATCTTAAGATTATTGGTTCCAACTCTGGGAAGAAAGTCTATGGTATTTTGATAGGGATTTAATTGAACATGGAAATTGCCCTGGGTAGCATAGACATTTTCAGAATATTCTTCCATTCCATAGGCATGGAATGTTTTTCCATTTCTTTGTGTCTTACTCAATTTCTTTCAGAAGTCTTCTGTAGTTTTTAGGGTACAGATCCCTTACCTCTTTGGTTAGGTTTATTCCTGGGTATCTTATGCTTTGGGGTGCAATTGTAAATGGGACTGACTCCCTTAATTTCTCTTTCTTCAATCTCATTGTTAGTGTATAGATATGCCACTGATTTCTGGGCATTGATTTTGTATCCTGCCACTTTGCCGAATTGCTGTATGAGTTCTAGCAATCTTGGGGTGGAGTCTTTTGGGTTTTCTATGTACAGTATCATGTCATCCGCGAAGAGAGAGAGTTTGACTTCTTGGCCAATTTGAATATCTTTTATTTCTCTTTGTTGTCTGATTGCTGAGGCTAGGACTTCTAGGACCTTGTTGAATAACCGTGGTGAGAGTGGACATCCCTGTCGTATTCCTGATCTTAGGGGAAAGGCTCTCAGTGTTTCCCCATTGAGTATGATATTCACTGTGGACTTTTCATAGATGGCTTTTAAGATACTGAGGAAAGTCCCTGTATCCCTACACTCTGAAGAGTTTTGGTCAGGAATAGATGCTGTATTTTGTCAAATGCTTTTTCTGCATCTATTGAGAGGATCATATGGTTCTTGTTTTTTCTCTTATTGATGTGATCTATCACGTTGATTGTTTTACAAGTGTTTAACCAACCTTGCATCCCGGGGATAAATCCCACTTGGTCATGGTAAATAATCTTAATGTACTGTTGGGTCCTGTTGGCTAGTATCTTAGTGAGAATTTTTGCATCCATGTTCATAAGGGATATTGGTCTATAATTCTCCTTTTTGGTGGAGTCTTTGTCTGGTTTTGAAATTAAGGTGATGCTGGCCTCATAAAACGAGTTTGGAAGTATTATGGCCGTTTCTATCCTTCGAAACAGCTTTAGTAGAATAGGTATTATTTCTTCTTGAAACCTATGATAGAATTCCCCTGGGAAGCCATCTGGCCCTGGAGATGACTGCTTCAATTGCCTTGCTGGTTATTGGCCTGTTCAGGTTTTCTATTTCTTCCTGTTCCAGTTTTGGTAATTTGTGGTTTTCCAGAAATGGGTCCATTTCTTCCAGATTGCCTAATTTGTTGGCATATTGCTGCGCATAATACGTTTTTTAAATCGTTTGTATTTCCTTGGTATTGGTTGTAATCTCTCCTCTTTCATTTGTGGTTTTATTAATTTGAGTCTTCTTTCTTTTTAATAAGGCTGGCTAATGATTTATCTATCTTATTAATTCTTTTAAAGAACCAATTCCAGCTTTGTTGATCTGTTCTACAGTTCTTCTGGTCTCTATTTCATTGAGTTCTACTCAAATCATTATCTTCCTTCTGCCTGGTGTAGGTTTTTCTTAATTTTAATTTTAATTAATTAATTAATTTATTTTCTGGTGCAGGTTTTACTTGCTGTTCTTTCTCCAGTTCCTTTAGGCGCAAACTTATTAGTTTGTGTATTTGAGTCTTTTCTGATTTTTTGAGGGATTACAATACAAGCGTATTGTGATGTATTTCCCTCTTAGAACTGCTTTTTCTGTATCCCAAAGATTTTGAACATCTGTATCTTCATTTTCATTATTTTCCATGAATCTTTTTAATTCTTCTCAAATTTCCTGGTTGACCCATTCATCTTTTAGCAGGATGCTCTTTAACTTCCATGTGTTTGAGTTTCTTCCAAATTTCTTCTTGTGATTGAGTTCAAGTTTCAAAGCATTATGGTGTGAAAATATGAAAAAGATTGGGACAATCCCAATCTTTTGGTATCAGTTGAGACCTGATTTGTGACCCAGTATGTTTTCTATCCTGGGGAAAGTTCCACTCGTGCTGGAGAAGAACGTGTATTCAGATGGAAAGTTCTGTATGTATCTGTGAAATCCATCTGGGTCCAGTGTATAATTTAAGCCCCTTGTTTCTTTTGTGACGTTGTGCTTAGATCTGTCATTTGTAGAAAGTGCTGTGTTGAAGTCCCCTACTATTAGTGTATTATTATCTAAATGTGTTTTTACTTTGGTTATTAATTGATATACTTGGCAGCTCCCACATTAGGGCCATAAATATTCATGATTTTTAGGTCTTCTTGTTTGATAGGCCTTTCAAGTATGATATAGTGCTCCTCTTCATCTCTTTTTTTTTTTTTTTTTCCTCTTCATCTCTTACTACAGCCTTTGGGATAAACTGTAATTTATCTGATGTGAGGATTGCTACCCAAGCTTTCTTTTGAGGACCATTTGAATGGTAAATGGTTTTCCACCCCTTCATTTTCAGGCAGGAGGTGTCCTTAGGTCTAAAATAAGTCTCTTGTAGACAACAAATAGATGGGTCTTGCTTTTTTATCCAGTTTGAAACCCTGCGTCTTTTGATGGGGTCATTTAGCCCATTCACGTTCAGAGTAACTATTTAAAGATGTGAATTTCATGTCATCTTAATACCTGTTCAGTCCCTGTTTTTGTGGATTGTTTCTTTGGGCTCCCTCTTTTTCTTTTACAGGGTTCCCCTTAATATTTCTTGCAGAGCTGGTTTGCTGGTCACATGTTCTTTCAGTTTCTGCCTATCCTGGAAGCTCTTTATCTCTGCTTCTATTCTGAATGACAGCCTTGCTGGATAAAATATCCTTGGTGGCATGTTTTTCTCATTTAGTACCCCGAATAGATCATGCCAGCCCCATCTGGCCTGCCAGGTCTCTGTGGAGAGATCTGCTGTTAATCTGATATTTCTCCCCATATAAATTAAGAATTTTTTGTCTTGAGCTGCTTTAAGAATTTTCTCTTTATCTTTGGAATTTGCAAGTTTCACTACTAAATGTTGAAGTGTTCAACGGTTTTTATTGATTTTTTTTTTTTTTTTTTGGCAGGGGCGGGGGTCTCTTCTCTATCTTGGATCTGAATGCCTGTATCCTTCCTCAGACTTGGGAAGTTCTCAGCTATGATTTGTTCAAATATACTTTGTGGCCCTCTCTACCTTTAGGCCTCTTCTGGAATCACAATTAGATGTATATTCTTCTTTCTGAGGCTATCATTTATTTCCCTAAGCCTTTCCTCATGGGCTCTTAATTGTTTTTTTTCCTCAGCTTCCTTCCTTTCCATCAACTTGCCCTCTATGTCAGTCACTCTTTCTTCTGCCTCATTAACCCTTGCAGTTTAGGACCTCCAGTTTGGATTGCATCTCATTTAATTGATTTTTAATTTCAGCCTTATTAGATCTCAATTCTGCGGTAACGAAGTCTCTAGAGTCCTTTATGCTTTTTTCCAGAGTCCCCAGTAGCTTTAAAATTGTGCTTCTAGGGATCCCTGGGTGGCGCAGTGGTTTGGCGCCTGCCTTTGGCCCAGGGCACGATCCTGGAGACCCGGGATCGAATCCCACATCGGGCTCCCGGTGCATGGAGCCTGTTTCTCCCTCTGCCTGTGTCTCTGCCTCTCTCTCTCTATCTGTGTGACTATCATAAATAAAAAAAAAAAAATTAAAATTGTGCTTCTGTATTGGCTTTATGACATGGAATAAAATCCATATTCTGTAACTCTTGACAGAGAGTACTGTTTCTGATTCATTCTTTTATAGTGAATTCTTCCTTCTACTCGTTTTTTCCAGTGCAGAGTGGCTATATGAGTAGGATTAGTCAAAAGTATCAGCCACAACCTAAGTGAATTCCACTCTGGATGATTCTGATGAGGTCAGAGACCAGAAAATTAAAAAGATCAGAAGAAAATAAAACAAAAAGACCACTAAAGTGACAAACAAATTCTAAAAGTAGTAAAAAATAAAAGGCCAAAGACCCTAAAGAACCGCGCTCCCGAGGACCACCTCTCCCAAAGGGAATGGGGCTCAGCCACCTCCATCTGGATCCGCCCCTGTAACCAACTGGCTTCTCCCAAATGCAGTGAGGGCTGTGGTGCTCCAGCCCTTTGTGGAGATCACCGGGTTTTGCGGTGTGCTCTCCCCGGGGTGCCCCTCCTCTACTAGTGACTCCGGGAATCTAGAGGCTTCACTGCCCCCTGCGATTCTGCCTGATTTCCCTGCTGAGCAGTTTTCTGTCCCAGAAAACTCTGGTGCAGAATTTTAAAGTTCCCACTTCCTGAGGCTGGGCTTTCCTGGCCCAGAGGCTGTTGCTGCTCTGCTTTAGCCCCGCTCCTTGTGGGGCCCTTCCCCCACTTGATTCTTTATTTTTTTCTGCCTTCCTACCTTATTAGAAACGAAAACTCTTCTCTCTATAGTGTTCCAGCTGTCCTCTCCTTAAATGTCAGGTCGGATTTGTAGGTGTTCGGGATGTTTTGAAAACTTCCTAGGTAAGTTGGTGGGACCAGGTGAATTGAGGACCCCCTACTCTTCTGCCATCTTGCCCCACCTCCCCCTCAGTGATTTCCAACTTGGAGTTCCCATGCCTCATGTGGTATAGGCTTGAGGTTTTACTTTCTTGCAAAATGATCTCCAGACAATCTTCCCTGTTATCTCCTCAGCCATGGAAACAGTTTTTCCAGGTCCCTTTTCATAAAAAGGGCACTTCTTTGAATTTCTGCATTTGACATTGGGAGTTTAAATTCCATTCCAAAGCCTTGCCCTGCTCCCGTCAAGCTCAGGGTCCTGCCATCTGTTCTCAGGCAGGTGTTGAAACTCAACTACCTTGGGAGTGGATTGATCAGACCTTCATGGTCCACCATGGAAGTCAGCTCCCATTTGCCAGTCTGTTTTTTACTTTTATATTCAACCAGGCTAAAGAAATGTATGTGTATTTTAAATATTATCCAACATTTCTACATGTATGGGTGTGAGGGTCTGTGTTAAGTTGTTCTCCAGTGTTTAAAGAAGTCATCTGCTGTGATGACAGGCCCTCATTCTAAATTTTGATGTCCGTTTTGATATATTTTTAAACACTTTCAGTTTTGTCAGAAATTTGGACTTAATCTGAAAATGCCAATGTACATTTTGAAGGGAATTGAAAAGTCAAAATTGTATAATAGAGCTCATAGCTCAATGAAGGGAAGCTTATATATGTTATAAAATGGTCTTTCTTAATATCTAACAGTCTTTTCAAAGTAGCAACAACAAATATATTGCTTTGTCCTATAGTATATATCTGGGTACAAGGACTACCTCAAAAACAAAGAATTTAACATTATTTTTGTAGAAAATAGCAGTTGTAAAATTGCCTAGGGAAACTTAGATAAGTTCACATTTCATGACAACTATTTGTGGCTGTAAAGAGTGGTGATAAGAATATAAGCTGTGAAGTTTATTAATACATTGCTTTTTAGAAACCGGTCTTTTTTTTTTTCATAATTAGGTAGATATAGAAAAGAAAGATGTTCTTGATTTTGGTGACTTGACTTACGGAAGCTGGAAAGCTCTGCCATTAAAATTGATAAACAAGACTCATGCCACTGTGCCAATCAGACTTGTTATTAATGCTGTAAGTACTAACATACAGTAAGAAAACTTTACAGAGCACATTGATTTGGAATTGTAGACACTGCTAATATCATTCTTGATTAATTTTTCTTATGGAAATAATTTTTTTTAAGGATTCTGTCCACAAATTTAACATCACACCAACATTGTCCTAGTGGCTTTATTGAAACTGATTCTCGATTTCTGAACAGAATGCCGCAGCCTGGCGCTGCTTCACATTTTCCAAGGCACCCATCCATGCCTCTTGGAAAGAGACTCCATATGCCGATGTGATTGCTCAGCTTGCAGCTCCTTCTGTGGTCAACCACGTGATGCCTGCTAGTTATGATGGACAGGTAAGATGGGGGATTAAAGAACTGCCTTAGATTTAAAGAGGAAGTTAAGTTTCCAAACAACTTACCTTTCTTTAAGGTTTAAATCTTAATGCTAGTGTAAATTTATTTTATTTTGTTTTACAGGATCCAGAGTTTCTGATAATTTGGGTTCTTTTCCATAGTCCAAAGAAACGGATCACTTCTTCAGGTAGCATGTGTATATTTTTTGGAAATTGCTTTACTTTGTAGATAAATACGCCACAAAATTGAGGAGTAGTTCCTCCATCAGTAAATGTGAATACTTTGAGTAATTTGTCAAATATTTTATGTTGTTTTAAAGATGGGGCAGAGACCATGCTGTTTTGGGTCAAACTCCTGTGTAGGTAACCCCAGCAAGTACTGCTGAAGACCTGTTGGGATCTTACTGTTCACTGATTTTGTCACATCTACCAGTTGGATATTTTCTTTTTCTCCTTCCCCTCTACTCATTTGTTTCCTCTTTGAATTCATTAAAAAGTCATCTTGCTTAGGATTTCTTGTGACCCCTGAGGGCATAGTGTTGGACCACATGAGGCATTTAGAACTGAATAACTCTCAGGCACCTGGATGACTCAGAGGTTGAATATCTGCCTTCAGTTCAGGTCATGATCCCTAGATCTTGGGATTGAGTCCCACATGGGGCTCCCAGCAGGGAGTGTGCTTCTCTCTCTGCCTGTGTCTCTGTCTCTCTCTTTCTGTCTCTCATGAATAAATAAATAAAACTTCAAAAAAAAAAAAAAAGAATTGAACAACTCTCAGGTCTGTAACTAAAAAAATGAACTTTTACAGAGATCTTGGACTCAGCAGAAGAGTTCTTGGCAAGAGTGGATATAGAAGTTGATAGCCCAAACCCTACACCAGTCATTAAAAGTGTTCGTCTCCAAGCAAGAACAGGAATAGCTAGGATACATGCTCCAAAAGACTTACAGGTATCCACACTTCTCTTTGCCGTGATTTTATGTTAAGGTTGATTTCATTCTTGTTGTGATATTGTTTTAAATGTCGGTTTTACCCCATCCTCTAGACTATGCACTTGTTTGCCAGTGTGGCTTCCTCAACAAAGCAGCACTTACCTTTGAAAAATGCAGGGAATATTGACGTTTACTTGGATATCAGGGTAAGAATTTGTGTCAGAATGCTATGACATGGTATTTTCTTAGACTGTGAAATGGAAGTATATCCTCATATTGTGGAGGTTGCTCAGCTGCCACCTTGGCAGAGTGCCATGGGGGTCAAATGCAAGAACCTGTGTGTGGGCTTTAAAAGCTGGTGGTTAAACTAGTATGAAATAGATGGTAGGGCACTTGAACTTTGACATCTGATGTTTTACAAGTAAAAACCAAGTTCTTAGATTAGTTCCCGGAAACTGTGTGTGTTGTCCTATAGACAGGTGGAATTGGAGGAGAGTGATCACGTACGGAGGCATTATTTCTGAGACATGTGGGTGAGCTAAAGGATATTAGGAGTAGGGTGGGAGATGAAGTTTGTTATGGAAGAGGAAGTGCCCTTTCCAGGAGAGTAAGACGAGGCAGGGCAGTGACAGACAGGCACAAGGGAAAAGTCACCTGTCAGAGTAAGTGAAGAACGAGAGGAGCGGACTAGAAGCCCCTTTTGCAGACGTTGGCATTTAGTTATAATTGTGTAAATATTTAGATTCCAGATCAAGGAAGTCACTTTTCAGTGGATCCAGAGAATCTATTCCTTAAACCTGGAGAAGAACGAGAAGTTACAGTTACATTTACTCCAGAGGACCCCAAGACCTGTGAGGAAAGGTAATATAAAATTATTTATAATGGCAAGCTTTAACTTTTTGCTCAAAACAGCTGCTTATAGACCTGTGCTTCATTCCACAGCCTGAATGAGTACATGTTTTCTCTCACCTAATAATGTAGCTCCATTTAACCTCTTTTAGCCTCAGATTTTCTTTTTTGTTTACTAAAACTCTCCTTTTAAACCACCTGACTAGAAATTAAGAAATTACTATTTTCAAGAATATTCTGACAAAAGTAAATAATAAAACATCAGTCTTAATGTTTCTCATGAACTTTTCCTCGCTCTCCGAGGAAACCATCGCTAGATGTTAAAGACACTTCCCTTACTCCCATCCCTTCTCCAAGCTTGTGACATTTTGGTGCCCAGATCCTCAGTGAGTATTACCTGGCAGTGGTCAGAGCACCATCATCATTAGTATTTGAACTTGCTTGGTAAACAGAGCTTAGAAGCATGCTCTCCTGAGACATATGTGGTCTGGCCTCCACCTGGGTTATAGATACCCTAGTGTGCTCAGTCTGTTACATGATCTTTCAGAGAGGGGCTAGCCTGCACAGATGTGGATACTTTTGCCTGGTGCGCATGCCTGCAACTTCACCGAGTTAATTCTCTCATCTGGGAAGCTTTCCTCGGCTCTTGCCAAATTCCTCATAAAGAGTAGTCGCTAATATTCCTATGGCCCTCTGAACTTGCCCGCTCCCATTAAGTAGATGATATTATGATCGTCTCTTTCCTTGTCTGTATTCTTCTCTGGAATATAAGCTGTAAGGGTGGGAATGTAATTGTTTTCTCAGCACTCAGTCCAATCTCTTGGGACAAAGGAAGCTTGTGGGGAATAGATGCCAATAGAAGTGAACTTTGGACGTTAAATTTAGATGGTTTTCTTTGTTAGGATCTTGAAAATATTTGTGCAGCCCTTTGGACCTCAATATGAAGTGGTGTTAAAAGGTGAAGTCGTTTCTTCAGGAAATAAACCTCTGACACCTGGCTCTTGCTGCTCAGATGTTCCATCGATTTTGTCCAACAAGCAGTTTCTGGCCTGGGGAGGTGTTCCTCTTGGTAGAACACAGTAAGTATGCATGTAGCAGCTTCTGAACGTGAAGATTCTGCTGTCTTCCCATAGTGTTATTCTCTGCTTTGATAATTATGACCATGTTAATGTTTTTAGAGTTGAAATAAGGCTGTCTTACGTTCCTTAATCTTCAGATCATGAATGCAGATGTTTTAATTAAAATTTTCACCTCTGCAGTCCAAAAAACTAAGTTTACACTTTCTTAAGCTTTTTTTCTCTGCTGATTACCAAGTTCAGGCAATTAAGAGTTTCTTTCTTCCTTCTCTGGAAAGCCCTATGGAAGGGTAGGAAGAAAAAATACTCGAAAACCTTGCATTCTGCTAAAGGAGTTTACAAAGTCACTAGTGACTACTTGGTATTTTAAAGAGTATAAGACATATTTAACAGAGCAGATATATTTTGTCCTGTTTAATGTGAATTACATCTGGAATCTTATTTTTATATGTGTTTTGATCATACATTTTGAATATGAACTCTGAGTAGATTGACCTATAATGTATAGTATAATATTTTTCCCTTTGTAAGCTTAGCAATATAGCTAAATTTTTATCAACCTCAAATATACTAATTAATAACCTAGTAATTATTAAACCTCAGTGTCTCCTCTTTCATATTTTGCATTTTTGTATATGACCTGAATGTTTTATCAATACATTTCTGTGGTCCCTGAGAGATAAGAACCTCCTGGCTAAATCTATACTATAGGGTACTTCTTTAAAATTATAGTTTTGTCTGTGCAAAAAGGATCTAATTGAACCTCCTTACTTTACAGAGGTCATACATCTGCTTAACTATTCATGTAGTCATCTGTATCTTGTCTTGTTCCAAAATTAACTTTCAAAAAGACACAGTAAGATCAAAACAGTTGAGGGCTAACTGCTGTGGGGAAAAGGGACATCAGCACCATAGGTAGTGCCCAAAGGCTCACCTGCAGACCCTGTACACTTGAGGTGGGTCTTGTCCTGGGTTCTAACTCTTCTCCCGGGTTCTGACTCGTCTCCCATCATCCTGAAATAAGTTAGTGTTCAGAAGTTTAAGAACAAACCATTGCTGTGTGAGAGAGGATAGGCTGTTCCTTCTACAGACTTTAGAAAGATGCTTCTTCCAGGGGTCCTTTTAGAGAGAGATCCATACAATATAGTGAATCTCAAAGTAAAACAACTTCATATTAAATACTCCCATCAGGATGCTTCCCCTTTGAGGTGCTCAGTCCAGCATGGACGTGTCACATGTGAATACTCAGCTCGCAGCATTTCCTGGGTACTGAAGCATGTGGTGGCTTGATGGAGACAGCTGAGGCACCTAGAAAAATGGTGGGCTGTGTGTGCTCTTGAAGCAGCTCCCAGTAAACATTCTCTCAGCTAGATCTTCAAAAAATCCTGAAGGGCAGGGAGTTTGAGGTATTGTGCCCTCAATCATTTGCAGCAAATTATTAATAGAGTAGAGATGGCTGCTCTTAAAATCTAGCTGCTCCAGATGCCATGACATCCTGAAATCTTACAGTTCATCTGAAACAAAATTAATGTGTGCTAAACTTTTTATTTTTATAAGATTTTATTTATGAGATACAGAGAGACAGACACAGAGGGAGAAGCAGTCTCCTCACAGGGAGCCCGGTGTGGGACTTGATTTCCAGGCCCAGGATCATGCCCTGAGCTGAAGGCAGATGCTCAGCCACTAAGCCACTGAGGCATCCTCCCTGCCCTTTTATTTTAAATAAGAAATTACATGAGTTAAGTTGGAAATGGGGGCACTGTCTTGTGCATACTTCTGGACTTGTCAGTGGTATATCCTCCCCCCTGCCCCTGTCCTCTCCTGAGGGAGGGGCCGTCATGCTGTTCTCCTTTATTTCTTGACTTGCCTTCCTCGTGAAGATTCATGGCTGCCTTCGATTCCAGCAGATGGAAGTATAATCCCTGTGCCACCCCAGGGAATTGACCTGAGGAGCTTCATGTCTCCTGTTTATAGTTGGTTAGATATTTTAACTCAGCCTGGAGGAGCTTGCCAGTCACGTGAGAAGGATAATACCTTAGTCCGTGGATTCTACGCCCCATGATGGCTAAAAGTGGGCTTGTTGAAGGCAATAGATCCATGGGAAACATGTATGTACAGTTTTGAGTGCAGCACTTGCCTAGCTAGACTATGAACCTATGTTTCTGTAATCCCCTTACCTCTGTGATAGTGTCCTACACAGAACGATTATTTTTCCCATCCCAGTCATCTTCGCAACTCCTTTAAGGATGTTGCAGCAGAATTTATGATAAAGTGGTACACTGTCTGCCTAGAAAGAGATCTTCCTATTTTCTGTCCATTAGGAATGTCCTAGGAGGTAGTTGGGCTGTGACCCAATGGGTTCTGGGAGAGGACGCAGAAACAGAGGGTGAGGGATGCTGGTGCCCTTCCGGGTGGCACTTGCTTCTCCCTGCCTGCCTTTGTGGAAAAAGGTGCTTAGTGCAAAATGCAGATTTGAAATGAGTTGTTCTTTGAGAGTAAAGAGAAAAAAATTCATATATAATGTGGGGGGGCAGTGTTCTCATCAAGTAATGGGTTATGCCTCAGTAAAGATAGAAATGATAACTAATAAATTAAAATTTTATTTTCTAAGGGTAAGTTATCCAAATGGTATTTCATTCCAATGTTTTTGGATTTTTTAAATGTTTTTGAAGCATTTTTCCATATATTCATTCATTCCAGTTTCTCTCTCGTAAGTCTGCATATGTACTTTGACTATTTGTTGGTTAGGATTTAGTATTTTTTTCTAATTAATTTGTGTGGATCTTATATAATAAAAAAGTTAACCCTTTTTGTATAGGTCCATTTTTTAAACAATTTTTTTAAAAGATTTTATTATTTATTCATGAGAGAAACAGAGAGAGGCAGAGACACAGGCAGAGGGAGAAGCAGGCTCCATGCAGGAAGCCCGATGTGGGACTCCATCCCGGGTCTCCAGGATCCCGCCCTGGGCTGAAGGTGGTGTGTGCTAAACCACTGATCCACCCAGGCTGCCTGTATAGTTCCTTTTTAAAATTAGAAACTGAACCCCCCCCCCAATTGATAACTCTTCTACTTGAAAATGACAACCAATTATAAAAATAAATAATAAATAAATAAATAAATAAATAAATACTTTTGAAGCATTTTTTTTTTTTTTTTTAGTAAGTCTTACCCTGTGTTCCTGTGAATGCTTTTCTCAGATATGCTGATAACTGAAGGTCTTAGATTTTATTCTGAGGTTAAGCACAGCAACCTTCTCCTTTAACCCAGAGTGGACAAGGCATAGACCACAGTTTAAATAATTTAACTGCCATCGTTCAAAATTTGAATAAATGGAGATTTATTCATGATTTTCTATCCTCCCAATGAAGAGAGGATTTTTAAATTTTCAGATTGAAGGATTATTTTTTATTTTTACCAGCAGCCAGCTATTATTCATAAGTCTATTTTAGCTGCATATTCTAACTTTCTAAAAGTATGGTTAATTCAGTGTACTCTTTAAAAGACTACTTTGTGCAGACTACTGAGAGTCAAAAAAATCTAAGCAATGTGCTAGGGACTCCTTGTTCCCATGAAAACTAGAAATTCAAGCTAAGCATGGTGTTGACTCAGTGATTTAATGAATTTGTTACTCTGGATTTTCATTGATTGCTTTAACAAGACAGGTAAGACTTACATGGATAGTATAAATAGTAAGGTCGGCTAAGTAGCTATAACAGGAGACTGATTAAACCAGAATTTCTCTGACAAGATGAATACGTTGTGAGGATGTTTTCAAAAATGTAGAATCCTAGGACATTGGAGACCCCTCCTGGGCTGCTAATACAGTGGCGTGCATAATCCAGTTCGTCTCTTGACATTGCAGTCAAGTGTAATTGGCTTTGGTTTTATACTTGTAGCAATGTTCGTGGAGGAAAACTGCATTTACAATGTGTAATTGTTTCTAGGCTTCAGAAGCTGGCTTTAAGAAATAATTGTACAGCTACAACTCAGCATCTGCGACTCCTCATTAGAGGACAAGACCAGGACTGCTTTCAGGTTTGTACAGTACGTGGTGCTGTTTCGTCTTCTTTCAGACCATTTACATGCACAGACCCTCATATGGTGCTTCAGCTTTGAAAATTTGGGTTGATGGTAGTTGTATTTGTGCTCCTGCTATGTTGTATGCAGTAATTGTTTTTAAATTGTAGCTTCAACACACTTTTGGTTCTGAAGAACGACTAACCAGTAACTGTGAGATTAGAATGTGTCCAAAAGAAGATGTTCACATCTCTGTGTTATTTGCACCTACTCGATTATCTTGCATGTTGGCTAAACTAGAAATTAAACAACTGGGAATTCGATCGCAACCAGGGATTAAGTTCACGGTAAGATGATTTTATTGCTTTTTTTCCTCCCATGGAGTTTCTGACATGTTATAATTATTAGTTCAATATTGGTAAACTGTGTATATTCTGTTTTTTTATAAGTCAGAATAGATATTTGCCTCGCTTTACAAATAAGTTAGGGAGTACGTATGTGCTTTGTACAAGTGTAATGTTCTAAAAGTAGCCGCCATATTATTCTTGTGGGAAACCATCTCTCATGCCTCTAAGTTTCATTTCAGCTGGAGCATTTTGAAATGTACCCAACTTTACAGGAACACACTTTTTGGTAAATTCAGATCAAACTTTAAGAATATTGACTTTCCAAGTAAATTGTACTTTCTCTATTCAGTAAAATACCCACTGACACCATTTACTAGACTCTGTTCCAGAACTAGAGATACAAAAACAAGAGCTTTTATATTTTGTTCCTTCCCAGTGTAATTTTTAGAAAGGATTTTAACTCATTTCTTTAGATATAGTCAGAGCAGTGAGAAATAAAGGTGGTAAATCATTGAGAAAAACAAAGAAAAGAATAATCAAATGAAACACACATTCTATAAATGTGCATACCTTAAAGCTACACAGTTTTTGGCTGTGGGGCTGAACTAAAATTTTGGTCCATTTTCTAGTGTCAAAGAGGGAATGCAATGAGTTACGAGATTAACAGTACCAAAAGCTTGAAATTATTTTGTTTTGAGAGAGAAACAAGAGTGAACAGGGTGGGGGCAGAGGGGGAGGGAGAAAGAATCTTAAGCAGGCTCCATACCCAGTGAGGATCCTGACATGGGGCTTGATCTCACGACTCTGAGGTCATGACCTGAGCCAAAATCAAGAGTTGGGCACTTAACCAACTGAGTCACCCAGGAACCGCCAGTTTTTTTAAAAAACAGTACATCTGGAATGCCTGGGTGGCTCAGCAGTTGAGCATCTGCCTTTGGCTCAGGGCTTGGTCCTGGGGTCCCGGGATCAAGTCCCACATCGGCCTCCCTGCATGGAGCCTGTTTCTCCCTCTGCCTGTGTCTCTGCCTCTCTCTCTCTTTCTGTGTGTGTCTCTCATGAATAAATAAATAGAATCTAATTAATTAATTAAATAGTACATCTTTATGGCAAACGTAGCTTTTTTTGTTGCTGAAGCTTGACATATTCTCTGTGGAGCTCTTCCTTTGGCTACATGAGCTGTGGTGGGCAAAGCTGTTTAAAGATGTAAGTAGTTGGGCTGGCTGGCTCAGTCAACACAGCAGGTGACTCTTGATCTCAGGATTGTGAGTTTCAGCCCCATGTTGGGGGATGGGTTTACTTAATTAAAAAAAAAGAAAAAGATGTAAGTCGTTGTCTCTAGGAACAACAGTCTTTTGTGTGAGTTGAGGACACAATGCCAAAGTACCACATATCCTGATGATCTGGTTTCAAGTAAGAAATCAAGTGGTTTGTGGAGAGAACTGGAAGGGACTATCCTGAATAGATTTCTATAAGTTCCGTGTTTACTAGCCAAGATGTTAAGATTATTCTTAAGAATTTCTGGAGAACTAATAATTCCCTGATTGTTTAGGGCAGGACCATTTGATTTGACAGTCACCGAACAGAAGTACAGGCTGATGTTCTCTTAAGACAAACCAGAACCCTAGTGGGAGTCCTGCCTATGTAAATGCCACCTGTTCTCTCAGAGGTGAACTAAATGGGACCTGAAGTGCACAGATGAATATGACTTTTATTTCACAAGAAGACTTGGACTACCAGCACTAATGTATTTTTGTGGAGATAAAGAACCTGGTACAGTGGTGCAAGAGCACTTCACTGTAGCGATGAGACATTGGGAATAGCTTTGCCTCTGTTCTTCACACTCACTCTGGATAGTCTCCACTTGCTCATGCTTCACTCACTTATCTTCTTGGTTTGGTTCTGAGAAATAAGTGAAATTATGCCTTGTGTACCATAAAGCATTGTGGGACTGCAATAAAAATATATTGATTGGATGCTGAGTATATGCCAGGCCCTACTCTTAATTGTCACTACATGGAATACCACACTTTATCTTTAAAAGGAACTACCTAGTTCATTCTACTGTCTCTATTCTACACATAGGGAAACAAACCTAGACAGATGCTTGGGATGGTGGTGCATCTCACACAGCAGTAAGTGGTCCAGGGTTCACATTCAGACTACCTGGCAGCAAAGCTCATTTTTATCTATTGCATGGGCTCTGAGTGTTCATCCTGCCTCTGTTTTCCAGTCCTGTGGAGCAGCAGTTTTCAACCAGAGACTGTTTTACCCTCCAGGGGACATTTGGCAATATGTGGACATATTTTTGGTTGTCGTAACTGAGGGTAGGAAAAGGGTGCTGCTGGCACCTAGTAAGTAGAAGCCAGGGATGTAGCTAACCTCCCTGTAAGGCGCAGGCTGGCCCCACCACAAGGAATGATGGAGCTCAGGGTGTCCATAGTGTGAGGTTAAGAAACCCTTCCCTGGAACAGTAGTTTTTCCTCTTGAATCTTTGGATTCTATTAGCCTTGGTCAGATTTTTTTTATTTAATCATACTTTTTCTTTCTTAACTGTTTACTCAGCAGTTAATTTGTGATTCCTTAGGCTTTGAAAAATACAGGAAAAATACTTCTGTTGAGTGTTTTCAAAGGCTGACTTACCCATTATTTTCTAGTTGCATACGTAAAATCTACTGCAAGTTTCTGTGGGAAGAGAAATTAGAAACACTTGGCTTTCAAAACTACCAAGAGCTCACTCTGAATGAGGAGGGATTTGTAGGAGCTTCAGATCTGAAGCATTTTAAAATGCTACCAATCTGTACTCATTTTGGCAAGCCAGTACCAATTTATGAGGTCCCTAAATTTGATTTTTTAAATGTTATTTTGAGTGCATAACACAACTCAGAATAAGCTGTTGATATTTTCAAGTTTGCAAGGTATACTTTGGAACACATTTGTTTTAAAGATTTTATTTGTTTGAGAGAGAGAGAACATGAGTGGTAGGAAATGTGGGGTAGAGGGAGAAGGAGACTCCCCACAGAGCAAGGAGCCTGACAGTGGGGCTCAATCCCAGGACCCTGGTATCATGACCTGAGCCAAAGGTAGACGCTTAACCAGCTGAGCCACCCAGGTGCCCCCGGAATACATTTTAATAGTTAGCAGTGATCATTTTTAAAAGAATACCTTTTTATCTTTTTTTAAAGACTTACTTATTTTAGAGAGATAGCATGCATGCATGATCTGGGGGAGGGAGCAGGGGAGAGAGAGAGAGAATCTCAAGCAGACTCATCACTGAACGAGGAGCTCAATCCCAGGATCCTGAGATCATGAGCTGAGCCAAATGCATCAAGAGTCGGATGCTTAACCAACTGAGCCACCCAGGCGCCTCTTAAAGGAGTACGTTTTAAAGGATATGGAAAGTTTGTTTCCCAGCAGCATACCTATCTTCCTGTATTTTTATTTAAAGACTTTATTCTCTGAATCCTTGTTCCTGTGGTAGCAGCCTGGCTTAGAGACAGCACCGGTTGGCACCTAACGCCTGCCTTCAGTCTGCACTCTGGCTAGGATTCTGTCCTCTGAGAGCTGTTTGAGTTCTTGGCTTCTATTTGGTCCCTCTAGCACACTTCTTTCTCACTCTGGAAGATGAAAAGCTAATAGGATTATAGAATAATAGATGTTTTTTTCACCAACACATTTCACTTTCAAAATTGAGAATTACTAGGAAGTTGGAAGAACTGTATAGTGAACCCTCACATACTCTACTACTTACATTCCATATTTACTTTATCCCATATCCAGCCATTCATCTCCTTTTTTTATGCATTTAAAAGTAAATCACAAACATCAGTATGTTTCACCCTAAACACTTCCTAAGCAAGTTTATCCATACTAATTTTTTTATTCCTTTATCATCTAAGCTTGCTTTTATAACAATGAAATAATTTAGCATATGGGAAGGTAAATAATTTTGCAACTCTTTGTTTTTGTTCTAAAGTTCTTTAATGCTGGACTGGAAGTGGGGTAACTACTAGCTAAAGTACACAAATAATAATTATAATCTTAATTATATTTGGGGGGTTTTTGCCTATAATTTAATCTTTGCTTTCTGCTTACATAAAAATAATTCTGGATATATATTTTTTCTGCTTTTAGATACCTTTGTCTGGATATGGAGGAACAAGTAATCTTATTTTGGAAGATGTTAAGAAGTTATCTGACAGTTACATGGTAACAGTGAATGACTTAATACCTGGCAAAGAAAGTAGAATTGTTTTTTCTGTTCATAACACCGGCTCTCGGGCAGCTTTTGTTAAAGCAATAGGTTTTAAGGATTCTCAGAAAAAAGTTTTGCTGGATCCTAAAGTACTACGGATTTTTCCAGATAAATTTGTGCTCAAAGAAAAAACACGAGAAGTAAGTATGTCTCAGCACTAAAAATACGAACTCATTTTTAAGTGAAATTAGAATTATGTATTTTATGGCTAAAAAATAGTATTTGAAAGTAATAAAGGGGTGGAAATACTTACCTGATCTTAGAAGTGCTATCATATGCACCCATGTCTACTGATTGTGTAGGCTCATATTAGAGTTAATTCACAATGAAGTGACTCAAGGAAAATATTTAATATTCACTCCTGATTTTTTTTTTTCTTGGCATCAGGATGTTACTATAATATATAATCCATTAGACAGAAAGAACAATTACACAACCACAACAGAACTGTCAACTATATACTTCTTTGGTGGTGATGAAATTTCGAGGCAGCAGTATCGAAGGTAGGTTATTTAGATGGTTTGGGAAACTGTTCAGTAGAAATAGTGAAGGCTTAAAAACGATTTGGAATTTGAAAGTTACAGAACATGGTCAGCTACTTATTAGTGAACCGGTGGATGAAAAGCTTGATAAAATTTGTATAGCTGGTAGTCCGACATGATGTGAGGAAGAAATGCCTGTAGGGAACTCATCTGCTATATTTGTAATGTGCCTTCTTTTCTAGACATATGTATTGTATTGTGCCTCTTTTCCTGTATGCAAATAGGCACCTCAGACTTCTTATAATAGGACAATCTTCCTAATGATGGTAGGTCAATTTTAGAAAAGATTTAAGAACTATTGAAAGAATATTTTGTGTATAAACACACCTGACTCACTTGTAGTATTTCTGGGAATGTTGTGAATTATTTGAAAGGATCAAGTTGTATTTAGAAATGTGTAGGGTGTTTAACTTGGCTAGCTTGATGCATGTGCTTCTAGGAAATTTGGTACCTCTAAATATCGTTTAATATACAAAAATCTTGTCAAACTTAGACATTTAGATTTAGTTGTGATTTAAACATAGGTAACTTTTTTATATGTTGAATTCAGAGTTCTTGTATGATAAAATTTTGTTGCCTTAGCATAGAGGGCCTGAATATACTAAAATGAGTGAGGCTCACAACGTTTCATGTGTTGATTAGCTCCTAGTAGGGAAGGGTTATATGCTTATACCAGCATTTCCTTCTTCTAACCCTTTGTGCTCTGCTATATTTTATTCTGATACATAATTTAGGGAATTGTTTTATTTTTGATCTGTTGAGTGAGGGGTTGTTGGGACGTTTAAAAAGAGACTTGAATGACAGGCTGCTACATAATGTTAGAATAGACCCAATATAAAGAGCTCAATTTTGAATCTGGTTTTGTTTCTCACTTAAGTATTTTAGATATGGAAACAGACATTTGGAGAAATTAGATGACCAGGTTTGGGCTCCCTCCCCCCCTCATAAAAACCTCTTTGCCACATGTATATAGCAATGAGGTTTCTTTGGTTTGTGGACATCTGAGTATTAGAAATTTACATTTCAGTTCTCTCACCTCAAAGATTCTTTAGAAGGGGCCAGGTAAATATAGTTATATGGTGATTTAAATATCTCTCTCTGACATCTAACTTATATTATGTTCTTGGCATATTCTTTTTTTCTTGAGACAAATTCCTAACTATGATCAAATTCTTAGAAATGAAAATGTAAGACCTGAAGAGAATCTAATTTTACTCTTCTCTCTACTTCTATATTAGGGAGCTCTCGTTTTGATGTTCATATTTAACTGAAAGCAGTGACTATGCTACCATGTATAACTTTCAAGGAAATTTCCAAAACAAATTTTCTTTTAAAAATACCTATATTAGGATTTAAGACATGAGATCTATATACTAATGCATTATGCATGCTATTTGTGAGATTTGCCACGTACACTAAGGAAAATCTAATTTATGTAAAATCATTTTTGAATAAAATCCTCTATTGGCAGAGCCCTTTTGCATAAACCAGGGATTATAGAACAAGTGCTTCCAGAACATAGTGTGCTGCAGAACGTTGATTTTGCTGAGACATTTCAGGATGAGTTACTAGTAACTGAAGGTAAGAATTTCAGCATGTCTTAATACTACCAATGACCCAGAAGATGTATCTGGATCCAGGGATGTGTTATAAAGAAGATGAGTATTAGTTTAGATTATGGAATCAGGCTGAGTTTGAGCCACACATCTGCTGTATGACTTTGGATGTCACTGAGATTGTTTTCTTTTTCGTAAATGAGAGTTATAATATCTAACTTCTCATCCATACACAACTGTGAAGATAACATGAGAGAGCTTTGCTATGTAAATGTTAGATGTAATCACATACTATGGCACCTATTCTTTGGGTAGACTTGTAAATAGGAGGAGAATGGTCATTATTGAATTCAAAGTAATTACTATTTAAGATTTAGTGATTGCAGGGGCTGTCCTGGTGACTCAGCGGTTTAGCACCTGCCTTCAGCCCAGGGCGTGATCCTGGAGACCCTGTATCGAGTCCCACGTCAGGCTCTCTGCATGGAGCCTGCTTCTCCCTCTGCCTGTATCTCTGCCTCTCTCTCTATCTCTATCTCTCTGTCTCTCATGAATAAATAAATAAAATATTTAAAAAAAAAAAGGATTTGGTGATTGCAGACTCAAACTCAGTTTGAGATTTCTGTGTCTGTTGTACAATTTATGGAGGATATAATTAATGTTGGAAATAAAAATCCAAAAAAGACAGCAGTGGAATAATTCCACCCTAGATATTTAATTCTATTTGAGCTGAGTTGTTTAAGCATCTAATGGTGTTTATTACTGATGTAAAAAGTATGTATTGAGACATACAAATTATGTAAAAATAGGGATCCCTGGGTGGCACAGCGGTTTAGCGCCTGCCTTTGGCCCAGGGCACGATCCTGAAGACCCGGGATCGAATCCCACATCGGGCTCCTGGTGCATGGAGCCTGCTTCTCCCTCTGCCTGCTCTGCTCTCTCTGTCTCTCTCCTCTCTCTCTCTCTCTCTCTCTCTGTGACTATCATAAATAAGTAAATAAATAAATTAATTAAAATAAATAAATAAATAAAATGGACAGATTTTCACCACAGTATTGTTTATAACAGAAAGAAGTTAAAAGTAACCTAAATGTCCAAGAATAAGGCATTGTTTAATTATGTAATAGAATATGTTGAAGCAATTAAAGCAATGATATGATTCTATAGTAAATGACATGAGAAAGCTCTTCATTAATAAAAATTATTTTAAAGTTTACATACTAAGATCTCCTGATAAAAATAATTTAATGTGTCTATATACAGCTACATAGATAAAATTGCAGGAGTATACACATCAAATATGGTGTGGTTATGTTCTGGTAGTAGAATTTCAGGTGGTAGTGTTTTTTTCCCCCATTTTCGTTTTCTCGTTTTTTAATGGTGAAAGATCTATAACTTGTAAAATATGAAATGATAAAAGGATATTTATGCCTGTGTAGAGGTGATGTAGAATAGTTCATGATCTTTTTGGTAATTAGGCTAGATCATCTACTCAAAGGGACAGTAGGGAGGGGTGAGTTAAAAATAGTGAAAAGATTTGAAAATTGATCTTGTCAGCAATGTGTTAAGGGAGCAGAGTATGGAAAGACCTTGGATTTGGAATTGAAACAATTCAAGACCCATCTGCCATTTAATCTCTCAGCTTTATCTTCTTTATCTCTTCTTCGTAAGAAAGATCCCCCAAAATAAAGGAGTTAAACTGAATTATGCTTTGTAGATGAAAGCACTTAGTAACACACCACAACAATCCTGAAAATGTGATTAAAAGTAGGTAGCATGAGTTCATAGTGGTTTAGAACTTGACACAGTTGCATGATTCAGCAACATTTCATTTATTGATTGTAGAAGTGAAAGATGCAGTCCTTGCCCTTTAGGTTCCTCCAGACTAAGGGGAAGACAAGTGATTAAAATAGGATATGCAAAGGGCCATGATGAGCTGTGTTTAGGAATCTGGAGAAAAAAAAAAAAGGAATCTGGAGAATACAGAAAAAGGGTACCCCATTTAAAACGAAATGACTTTTGAGGTATCTTGAAGAATGAGGAGTTGACAAGATAGGCTGGGGACCAGCATGGGGAAGGATATTCCAAGGAAAGGGAGCTGCGTGTACAGAAATTCAAGAAATGCGTTCTATTAAGGGTTGTGTTGACATACCTAACTAAGAGCTCAAGTAACCCATCAAGACCACCTATCTAAGATGGGGTTGAGTTGGGACTTCAGGTAGGTCTTTGAGACACCAGAATACTAGATTCCTTGAGATGGTGTAGTTATTGTCCAGAGGAAGGGAAGAACCATTCCCACTTTGTGTTGCATTGGTTTGTATAGTAGATCACCTATGGAAATGTTGCAGTTGAACTTTTTTACATGATTATTTTGAATAGCATTTGTTTGAGCACATTGCTATTACAGGTCTTTATAATCTTGCTTTTTTGGAAATGTGTGATTTGTGGCAAATATTTTCACACTTGATTTAAACGATATCTTTGTTATTATAAATTTCAATTTATGCTTACTATATTCTTTTAACAATTTTTAATTTAAAAAGTCTAATTCTTGGGCACCTGAGTGGCTCAGTGGGTTGGGCACCTGCCTTCAGCTTCGGTCATGGTCCCGGGGTCCTGGGATCGAATCCCCTGTCGGGCTCCCTGCTTGGTCGAGAGCCTGCTTCTTCTTCTCCCCCTGCTCATGCATTCTCTCTCTCTCTCTCAAATAAATAAAATCTTTTTTAAAAGTCTAATTCTTAATGTCTAATTTACTATTTTTTTTTAAGTAGGCTCCACATCCAGCATGGGGCTTGAACTCATGACCCTGAGATCAAGAGTCAGATAGATGCTTAACTGACTGAGCCACCCAGGCACCCCTCTTAATGTCTAATTTAAGTGTAGAATACAAGTACCTTCTATAAAATTTCTTGTATATAAAAATTCAGGTGGACTAATATAGAGATTTTCAACTTTAGAACTATTTTATTAATTTGCAGTATTTAGTTATATTATTGCCTGGTTTCTCGATTTGCTAAAGTTAATGTCTGTGAGACCACCACTTATAAATTGTGAATCCTTAACCTCTTTGTGCTTCAGATTCCTCATCCTTGAAGTGGAGATAATATATACCTACCCCCAAAGAGTTGTGAAAGCTAACTAGATTAATATACATGAAGGAACTAGAACAGTACCTGGCCCACAGTCAGCTTCTTGTATATGTAGCTTTAAACACATTGTACTTCAATGCTCAGGACAACCCCTGAGAAAGATTGTTACTTGATATTATCTTTGGGGAGACTAGAGTTTAGAGAAGTGAAGTTACCACATCCAAGGCCAGGGCCTGAGCTGCCTATAATTTCATGCTAGTCAATGGCAGTAAACCTCAAATGTCACCCACCCTCAACCTAAGAAAATAATATTCTGTGGCTGTAGATGTATAAGTTTATCTGTTACTTTGTGGTGTGATTATGTGAAGACTCATGTATTTCAAACATTATTTTCTGTTTCAGTGTATGATCTTCCCCAACGACCAAATGATATTCAGCTCTTCTATGGAAATATGCGCAAAATTATACTTTCAGTAATTGGAGAATTCAGAGATTCTGTGTCTAGCAGTGAATTCCTTCAGCCTTCTTCCAAACTTAGCTTAGAATCTAAAAGGTAAAACAGACAAAACATCTCACCAGATTTCAAGATAATTTAATTCATAGTAGAGTTCATTTTTTCTCTACTTTTTTTTGCCTCAACGTGTTTATTATTTCATCTTTATATTTTAGTTTAAGTTGAAATAATTTCAAATTTACAGAAAAGTTTAAAAATGGTAGATATGCTTCTTTCATTGAGATTTCTCAGTTGCTAACATTTTACCACATTTACCGTACTGTCTTTCATGTATATATAACTTATTTCTGAATCACTTAAGAGTAAGTTGCCGGCATGATGACCAGTTTGTCCTAAGGTTCCTAAAAACACAGACCCTCTCCTAAATAGCTATAGTAAGCCCATCAAAATTAGGACCTTAATATTGTTAAAGTACTGACATCTAGTCCACAGATTGCATGCAAATTCCCCAGTTCACTAATAAAGTCCTTTAACAATTAAAGAAATAAGAAGCTTCCTCTTTCCTCTTCGGCCCAGAATCTAATCTGAGATCACACATTACGTTTATTGAGCCTATCTTCTTTTACCATCTCTTTCTTTTAAATTTTTTTAATTTTTAAATTATATTTTATTTATTTTAAAAATGATTGTATTTATTCATGAGAGACGCACAGAGAGAGGCGGAGACATAGACATAGGCAGAGGGAGAAGCAGGCACCTCAAAGGGAGCCTGATGCGGGACTCGATCCCTGGACCCTGGGATCACATCCTAAGCAGATGCTCAACCACTAAGCTACCCAGGCATCCCTAATTCTTTTTTATTTAAATCCAATTTACCAACACTCAGTGCTCATCTGATGTGTCCTCCTCATGCTCTTCACCCAGTCACCCTATCCCCACCCACCTTACCTTACCCTCTTTCAATATAGAGCACTTCCCCCATCTGTCCTCTTTCATGACGGAACACAGAGGGTTGGATCATCAGATCAGAGCCACAAAATCAAAGATACTACCCAAAACTAAGTTTTAGTAATAATTTTAGATGAAACATGAGGAAATCAGGATTGCTAATGATGCTTCCTAGGCCCTTTTTGCAACATTAATACTCTACTCTGGTTCAAATTTAACCTGAGGTCTCTGAGTTGCACATGTGATACATTGCTCACACAAAAGGGGGAGCTGTTTCAATTGCGAAAGCTCTGTTTTATACTTGTATAATTACATACCTTATGTAATACTTTTTCAAACAGCTATGCTGCATAAATTCATAAATTTCAGATTTCTTTACCATAACCAATTCTAGACAGACCAGGAACATTCTGTTATAAGCATTCCATAGAAAAGTAAATTAGTAGGTTTGCTGGGAGATGTCACTAGGAAGATCACAAGGGGCTTTGACCAAATGAGCTTTCTTTCTTCCTGGGCATTCCCTAGAAAAAAAATGAGAAAATAGGTACAGGCCAGCTGCTTGCCCTTTTCTCATCAGTGACCTTGATGTTTTTGTAGAATATAGACCAGTTACTCTATAAAATGTTGCTCACACCACAGAAGTGATGCTGTTTTCTCCGTGTATCTTCTGTCAACTTCATTAAAATGGTGTTTGCCAGGTTTCTCCACTGTAGCTAACTAATGTCTTAAAGGGAGATCCTTAGAGATGATGAGTTATCTTGCTCCTTATCACACTTGTAGTACCCCGTGATGATTATTATGTGAATCGCGTTAGTAGTCTTATTTACCAAATGGTGATTTTTCTGATTCTGTCTACGTTTACTAGTTGTCATTCCACAATAAGGAAAAGATTTACTTTACTCCCTTTTGTGTATTTATATCCAGATGGACTGATGGATTCAGTATTAATCCTTTACTGTCATCATTTGGTCACTTAACCTGGCTCATTATTCACTGGCACAATGGATATTCTAGGTTTGACGTACACTTTCCCCATCCTAGCCCTGGAATAGAAGTTCTGGTTCCTTTTAATGGAGAGAATAGTATTAGACACTGGGGTGTAAATAGTAAGTGTCCTACTGCTTTTCAGGTGTTACTATTTCTAGGCCCCCTCATTGGATAGAGCTAGGAAATATATATGCATTTATATATAAATCCATGTGTATCCAAACCTGTTAATAAATATCTTGAAATCCTGAGCTTACACTGATATTTCCAATACTGAGAATCCTGGCTTCATTATCCTCAGTATATTTGCATTTACTCAATCCTCCTGTTTTTAACCAGTCTTCTTATCATATGGGCTGTTACCTTGACACAGTGTTGCCAACTCATACTGGCTGAGAGTTTTATGCAAATCCCAGCCACCAAATGAGAGCTCACACACCCACATGGGGCATCCCAACTCATCCTAGCTTGCCCTCTTCCCTATAGTTAAAAACAATATATTAGAGTATAACTCACAATATCCTATTAGTTTCAGATGTACATCATAGTGATTGGATATTTTTATACATTATGAAATGGTCCCCACACTAAGTCTAGTTACCCTCTGTTACCATACAAAGTTTCTGCACTATTATTGACTATATTCCCTTTGCTGTATATTACATCTTCATAATTTATTTATAACTAGAAGTTTGAACCACTTAATCCCTTTCACCTGTTTCACTCACACCCAGCTGCTCTCCCTGCCTCCTGTAACCAACAGCTTACTATATCTAAGAGTGTTACTGTTTTGTTTTGTCTGTTCATTGGTTTTGTTTTTTAGATTCCACATGTAAATGAAATCATTACTTGTCTTCCTCTGTCTGACGTATTTCACTTAGCATAATACCCTCTAGGTGCGTGTTGTCACAAATGGGGTTAGATTTCATTCTTTCTTATGACTAATACCCAGTGGGTAGGTAAATCACATTTTTATCCATTCATTTATCATGGACATAGGTGCTTTGATATCTTGACTATTTTAAATAATGCTGCAGTGAACATCAGGATTCAAGGCTCTCTTCAGATTGGTATTTTCATTTTCTTTGGATAAATACCTAGAGTAGAATTGCTGGGTCAAATATGCTAGGTTTATTTTTATTTTTTGAGGAACCTCCATACTATTTTCCACAGGGACTGCACCAGTTTGCATTCTAAATCCTCTGCTCATAGCCTGCTTTTAATCAGGCTATTATTTTTTTTGATACTGAGTTGTAGAAGTTATTTATCATTTGGATATTAACCTCTTATCAGATACTTGATTTGCAAGTATCCCCTCCCTTTCAGTAGGTTGCCTTTTTATTTTGATGATTTTCTTCACTGTACTAAAGCTAGTATCTGTCCTTCTCAAATTATTCCAAAAAATTAAAGAGGAAGGAAGGCTTCTAAACTCATTTTATGAGGCCAACATTATCCTGATATGGAAACCAGGCAAAAACACTGTAAAAAAGAAAATTACAGGTCAATATCCTTGATGAACACAGATGCAAAAATCCTCAACAAAATATTAGCAACCTGAGTTCAATAATATATTAAAATTAAAAGAATCCATATACTTTAAATGATAGTTCTTTTCTAAGATATTCAATCAAAGAATTAAAGGTCATAGTTACAGATGTTAAAAATTATCTTGAAAACCACTTAAATTGTGAGGAACTAGTTCTTAGAAAACTAAACAGCCAAGGAAGTAGCTTTATAATTTTTTTTATAAATTAATTTTTATTGGTGTTCAATTTACCAACATACAGAATAACACCCAGTGCTCATCCCGTCAAGTGTACCCCAGTGCCCGTCACCCATTCACCCCCATCCCCCGCCCTCCTCCCCCTCCACCACCCCTAGTTCATTTCCCAGAGTTAGAAGTCTTTATGTTCTGTCTCCCTTTCTGATATTTCTCACACCTTTCTTCTCCCTTCCCTTATATTCCCTTTCACTATTATTCATATTCCCCAAATGAATGAGAACATACACTGTTTGACCTTCTTCGGTTACTGTGGCCAAGTTCAAAAAGGGTGTTGCCTGAGTTCTCCTCTGGGATTTTGATGGAATCTTGTCTCACATTTAGATCTTTCATCTATTTTGAGTTTATCTTTGTGTATGGTGCAAGAGAGTGGTCCAGTTTCATTCTTCTGCATGTGGATGTCCAATTTTCCCAGCACCATTTATTGAAGAGTGTCTTTCTTCCAGTGGATCGTCTTTCCTCCTTTATCGTATATTAGTTGACCATAAAGTTCAGGGTCCACTTCTGGGTTCTCTGTTCTGTTCCATTGATCTATATGTCTGTTTTTGTGCCAGTACCACACTGTCTTGATGAACACAGCTTTGTAGTACAACCTGAAATCTGGCATTGTGATGCCCCCAGATATTTCAGGTTGTACTACAAAGCTTTATAATTTTTTTAAAATTGTTTCTCACTTTTGTTTGTTGCCTCCATTGTATCTCTGTTCCTGGGGCAGTCTGATTGGAAAAGGAGCAGATAAGAGGGTGAGGAGAAGATTCCTCTGTTTGCTAAATGACTACTTTAAACAAAGATGGGAGTTCTGCTATATAGTAGGAAAATTTGGGCAATGCCCCAATGAACTTTAGTTAAATCATGTGCTTCTGTGATTATAAATTTCATTTGAATTACCAGTTTGTTTGGTTTTTTTTTAATTTTTTTTTAATTTTTATTTACTTATGATAGTCACAGAGAGAGAGAGAGAGAGAGGCAGAGACACAGGCAGAGGGAGAAGCAGGCTCCATGCACCGGGAGCCCGACGTGGGATTCGATCCCCGGTCTCCAGGATCACGCCCTGGGCCAAAGGCAGGCGCCAAACCGCTGCACCACCCAGGGATCCCCAATATTAAGAATTTTTTAAAAACAAACTTTTTTTTTTGCCATGCTAAGTCTTTTACTTATTTATTTTACATTTTTTTAATTGGAGTTCAATTTGCCAACATATAGCATAACACCCAGTGCTCATCCCATCAAGTGCCCCCCCCCAGTGCCCATCACCCAGTCACCCCCAACCCCCGCCCACCTCCCTTTCTACCACCCCTTGTTCATTTCCCAGAGTTAGGAGTCTCTCATGTTCTGTCTCCCTTTCTGATATTAGTAAATATCAGAAAAAAGTAAAAACCTCACAGTAAAATGTTGGTGAGAAACCATGGTATTTCATTTTCAGTGTTTGGCAAATAGTTAACATCCTTAGTCATAAGCTTTTTATCATTTTTTATTTTTTTCATCTCCCCCTTTCTCTTTCTGTCTCTACAGTGAATCTGACAGTTCTGGGAAACATGGTGGCAATGTTTCTTTGGATGTTTTACCAGTTAAAGGTCCTCAAGGTTCTCCACTTCTTTCACAAGCCGCTTGCCCACCTCAAGATAAATCATCCTCCAGGGAAATGTGGACTGTCCAACCTGAACACTTGATTTTGATGGCCCCTTCTCCTTGTGAGTATATCAACAATACCACAACAGCAGTGCACTTTGGAAACCAAGGATGTACTCACTCTGATCCCATTGCTCATCTAGGAAATATACTTGAACTATATGCAAATGTGACCTACGGCTTATGCAGGTCCTCCCCTCCCCTACTGAGACCCACCTCACATTCATCCTGAGCACTGTCCAGCATAAGGCCATTGTCCTCGTACCAAGCTCCCAGTTCTGTATGGCAGGGCTGCTCATCCATGGGCCCTTCCTCCCACCTCATCCCTCACTCCAAAGAACTCATTTGGTACTTGATGTCTTTTGCTCTTAACATTGACACAGTTGGTTCAGAGTAGGAACAAATCTAGTATGAGTGTATGTGCCCAAGATAAGACCAGTGGTAACAATTTCCAGATGTCCTTTTTTTTTCTCTTTGTTCAGTGTCTTTGTAGTTTAAAAATAAAATGGTCTTATTTTATAGGGATTTGAAATTCATATAAAGCAAAATTAAGTTGGTAGACTAGGATTTGTTTTTACTGCTTATTAACACATGGAGTGTTCTGGCTTTTTTCTCTCCACTAATACTAAACATAAGTTACATTCTATTTATCTGATAGGTGGTCTGGCAAAAACTGCACGTTTCCAGATTTTAAATAATTCCATTAGGTTACTAAAATTTGAGTTATACTGGCCGGCACATTGCCTTACAGTAACACCACAACATGGATTTATCCCACCAGAGTAAGTATGATTTCCCTTTCCTCCAGGTAGTATTCAGATGTTAGCATGGTGACTTTTGAAGGATCAAATATTTGCCATTTTAATTTATTCAGTAGAATTTTATCATATGCTCCCTGTGCAGAGCTCCATGTGGTTTTGTGGGACTACAGTGTCATTCAAGGCTCATGCTCCTTAGCAGAGTAGAGCCCATGTCCACAGAACTTATGGTGTATACAGCCTAAAAGAGTTAAGGGACATGAATGAGGTGGGAAAGATTTCCTGGAATGGAAAACATCAGATTGTGCGGATATATTACTCTCTGTAGCAAATTACAAAGCAAGGGATATGACTGAGCAGATAATGAAGGATGGTGGTTTTTAAGGCCCAGATGGTTCTGTCCTTCATTGCCCTGGGTTTGGCTCAACTTATTCTGCTGGTTTTGTCTAAAGGACATTTTATAGACAAAGCTTCCTGACTTTTAATGTGTCTGAATCTTACCTAGCTTGCTATGTTTTACAAATAGTATTCTAAGAAGGAAGTGTTGGGGACCAAATACTGATAAGCAGCTGTCCTCTCTGTGCAGCTTAATTACTGATAGGAGCTACAGTTCTGCAGCTTTCCAGGGGCTTCATCTGGGTTGGCACAGAGCATTCACATCTGAAAGTTACTTCCTATTTGGGAATGGCAACTTTGCAGAAGAGCAACATGAAGTTTATTTACTTTTGCAAAGTGATGAAGTGTCCATTTAAGGAGAGTTCAGTTGGTTAATACTGACTTAAGGTATGGTTAGGCATAGTCCGGGGAAATATTCCTAGGAGCAATCTATTAAACATTTACTAATTAATGGTTGAAAAGATAGGGAAATGATAGAACAGATTGTTCCACAAATTATATCACCCCACATACTTAGCTATTAGCAAAGGAAAATACTCTTGCTCTGCCATTTTCTAAAGATTTTATTTATTTGAAAGAGAGAGCGAGAGAGCGAGCATGAACAGCGCAAGAGTAGCAGAGGAAGAGGGAGAAGCTGGGCTGAGCCAGGAGCCCAACATGGGGCTCAGTCAAGAACCCTGAGACCATGACCTGAGCCAAAGGCAAATGCTTAACCATCCAAGCCACTCAGGTGCCCTTGCTCTGCCATTTTTGACATGTGTGCCAAAGTGTCTTTTGTAACTAGTTGTTTCTTCTGAGTCACAAATCTGATTATGTTGTCCACATTTAAAAGTCTTCTTTGAACTTCTAACTCTGGGAAATGAACTAGGGGTGGTGGAAGGGGTTGAGGGCGGGGGGTGGGGGTGAATGGGTGACGGGCACGGAGGGGGACACTTGACGGGATGAGCACTGGGTGTTATTCTGTATGTTGGTAAATTGAACACCAATAAAAATTAATTTATAAAAAAAAAAAAAAAAAAAAAAGTCTTCTTTGAGGGCAGCCCAGGTGGCTCAGGGGTTTAGCGCCGCCTTCGGCCCAGGGTGTGATCCTGGAGACCTGGGATCAAGTCCCACATTGGGCTCCCTGCATGGAGCCTGCTTTTCCCTCTGCCTGTGTCTCTGCCTCTCTCTCTCTCTCTCTCTCTCTCTCTCTCTCTCTCTCTCTCTCTCTCATGAATAAATAAATTTTAAAAAAAATCTTTAAAAAAAAAAAGTTTTCTTTAACATTCCATAGCTCTTGAGGAGAACGATGAGCGTGGAAAGTTTTAGCAATTGGGTAAAAAAGTCTTTATTCTTTTCTTTTCCACCCCACTTTTTCATCCAGTTTCCTTTCCAGCTCTTTCATTCTCTTTGTACTGTGATTGTATCATTCTTTATTATCAAGTGGCTCAGAGCTTTTGTATATTGGTCTTTCGCTCCAGAAATTTTTTTTCTGAATTGCTTTTAAATGATATTTCTATGGTATGGTCTGTTTTCACATGAGTTTTCCCCTTAGGTTCATGGTTTTATGCCATTCGACTTTTTGTTAGTCACTGAGTTTAGGGGTGATGTAGAAGCAGACATGTATGGGATCTCACCTCTTGTCTGTTCTTTATTAGCAACAAGGAAAGAGTTGTTCATTGATAAAACGTATTTATAATACTTGTGGTTATTGCTATTAAAGTATGGGGTATTCTTGTTTTTTATTACTGAATTCTTTTTTTTAGGAGTAAGCTACAAATTCTTGTGAGTCCTAATTCCTCTTTATCCACAAAACATTCAATGTTTCCATGGAGTGGTTTCATCTATATACATTGTGACAATGGACAGAAGGTACTTTGTTTTTTTAAGCAACATTCTTCCTATTTTGCAGCTTAAGTGTCATGATCCTTACTGGCCCTAGTATTTCAGACATGAAATGAAGGGGCCTGTTCTTTCAGCCCAGCTAGACTTATTCAGATGGAGAAGTTAGCACAGGGTTTTCCTGTTAGTGATCTGAACAATTCTCCTGGGTAGGGGCAGGAATAGAAAGTGGAGCCTAGAAACCATTATTAATTTGCAAAATCTGCTTTAAAAAAGAAGAGAGTTGGGAGAGAGAGGTGAGAGTCACAGATTTACTTTGAGGTTTTTTGTTTTTGTTTTTGTTTTTTTTTACTTTGAGATCTAAATAAACTTCCTCTTCCTCCATGTTTCATTTGTTTGGCATTACTTTTCTCCACCATGTTTCAAAAATCAGAATTGTTTCTTTAAATGATAGCTCCACTTGTGTCTTATCTCCTTTATTTGGCTCCTTTCAGAAAGTTGTGAAAGTTCAAATTCGAGAAGACTTGACCCAGAAAGAACTTACTCATTTGGCCTCCAGCTCTTTTGGAATCCTTTCCCCAGAAACTGATCCTTCTGTTAGTCATCTGGTGAAGCCGATGACAAAACCACCTTCCACAAAAGTTGAAATAAGAAATAAGACTGTTACTTTTCCTGCAACAGAACCTGGTGAAACTTCAGGTGTGGTATCACAAGGATATACAGTTCAAATGGCCACTGATCTGTTGACTCTAACACTCTGTTCTTAGTGACCCTTATTGGGATAAATAAGGGATAGGGATCAAATTGTCCCCTCTTTCGGGAGAGACTCAGGTGGTCCTTGGCAGTCATTTCAGTGACAGGCCAGATTTGGGGCAGTCTAAAAATTGAAAAATGTTTAAGAACTGTTTATGTTCCAGGAGTCTCAGATTCTCACTGGTCAGAACCATCCCTCCCCAGCTCTCACTAGGTCTTTTACCAGAGCTGCTAGTAAGTTAGCAGAAGAAAAGAAGAAAGAGGGGAAAACTTGGTTCTCCCCCTCACTAGTGAGACTTGAGGCGCTACAGAGGCTAAATGGATAGACTCAGTTTCCCCATTTGCAAAATGTCCATCATAATTGACTCGTCTCACAGAGGGCTTTGAGGGATAAATGAAATAATACATATAAAGCACTTGGCATAGTGTGTGTCACCTAGTATTGCTAGTACTCCCCCAGCGTCTGGAGAATACTGCTTTTGCATTTCCTCCCTCCCACCTCCCTCCCTGTGATGGCTCAGTCTGCATGACTGGGATTGGAAAGGGTTTATGCCTTCTGTCACCTGGCCCTCACTCCATGCCTCTCCCGCTGGCTGTCTTGCACTCATGCTCAGTTTCCGCTGCCTGTCAAGCCTGTCCATTGCGGGTTATCACCCATCCCCTCCATTGTCCCCACTCACATCCACTGAGTTCCAGCGGCTCTCTGGCCTCAGTCAGACATCCAGGCCACTCTACAGCACCCCAGCCTGGGCTGCCTGGGCTTGAATTCTGTGGTCTGTCTCTGAAATCACTGCCTTAGGAGCATTCTTAACTGCCGTGTGCCCTTCCCTCTGCATTCCTGCCTGGTGAGGTTCCAGGACTTATTAGACCAGCCATCTACCAGCTTCGGGTCTGTACTGGAGCAGCACAGCACTGCTGCAGGAAACTCTGCCTGTGCCCACAAATTTGTCATCAGATGCCACTCAGCACCAATCTTTACTAGCAGCCCTCTTTGTTTGCTAGACTCGTTTGACAGCGTCTCTCCTTTTTTTTTTTTTGTTTAATATATGTATATATTTTTATTGGAGTTCAATTTGCCAACGTATAGTATAACACCCATTGCTCAACCTGTCAAGTGCCCCTCTCAGTGCCCGTCACCCAGTCACCCCATCCCCCCATCCCCCCACCCACCTCCCCTTCCACTACCCCTTCTTAGGAGTCTTATCCCAGAGTTAGGAGTCTAACCCTCTGATTTTTCCCACTCATTTTCTCTCTTTTCCCCTATAATCCCAATCACTATTTTTTATATTCTCTGTATGAGTGAAACCATATAATGTTTGTCCTTCTCTGATTGACTTACTTCACTCAGCATATTACCCTCCAGAACCATCCACATCAAAGCAAATAGTGGGTATGCGTCCTTTCTGATGGCTGAGTAATATTCCATTCTATACATAGACCACAGCTTCTTTATCCATTCATCTGTCAGTGGACACCGAGGCTCTTTCCACAGTTTGGCTCATGTGGACATTGCTGCTGTGAACACTGGGGTGCAGGTGTCCTACCGTTTCACTGCATCTATATCTTTGGGGTAAATCCCCAGCAGTGCAATTGCTTGGTCGTAGGATAGCTCTAATTTTAACTCTTTGAGGAACTTCCACATAGTTTTCTAGGGTGGCTGCACCTATTCACATTCCCACCAACAGTGCAAGAGGGTTCCCCTTTCTCCACATCCTCTCCAGCATTTGTTGTTTCCTGTCTTGTTAATTTTCCCCATTCTCACTGGTGTGAGGTGGGATCTCATTGTGGTTTTCATTTGTATTTCCCTGATGGCAAGTGATGCGCAGAGCATTTTCTCATGTGCTTGTTGGCCATGTCTATGTCGTCTTTGGTGAAATTTCTGTTCCTCTCTTTTGCCCATTTCATGATTGGATTTTTTGTTTCTTGGGTGTTGAGTTTAATAAGTTCTTTATAGATGTTGGATACCAGCCCTTTATCTGATCTGTCATTTGCAAATATCTACTCCCAATCTGTAGGCTTTTAGTTTTGTTGACTGTTTCTTTTGCTGTGCAGAAGCTTTTTATCTTAAGTCCCAGTAGTTCATTTTTGCTTTAGTTTCCCTTGCCTTCATAGATGTATCCTGCAAGAAGTTGCTGTGACCAAGTTCAAAAAGGGTGCTGCCTGTGTTCTCCTCTAAGATTTTGATGGAATCTTGTCTCAAATTTAGATCTCGCATCCATTTTGAGTTTCTCTTTGTGTCTGGTGTAAGAGAATGGTCTAGTTTCATTTTTCCACATGTGGCTGTCCATTTTTCCCAGCCCCATTTATTGAAGAGACTGTCCTTTTTCCAGTGGATAGTCTTTCCTGATTTGTCGAATATTAGTTGACCATAGAGTTGAGGGCCCATTTCTGGGTTCTCTGTTCCATTGATCTGTGTGTCTGTTTTTGTGCCAGTACACACGGTCTTGATGATCACAGCTTTGTAGAACTTGATATCCAGTATTGTGATGGCCCCGGCTCTGGTTTTCTTTTTCAATATCCCATGGCTATTCGGGGTCTTTTCTGATTCCACACAAATCTTAACATTATTTGTTCCAACTCTGTGAAGAAAGTCCATGGTATTTTGATAGGGATTGCATTGAATGCGTAAGTTGCCCTGGGTAGCATAGACACTATCACAATATTCTTCTAATCCGTGAGCATGGTATATTTTTCCATCTCTTTGTGTCTTCCTCAATTTCTTTCAGAAGTGTTCTGTAGTTTTTAGGGTATAGATCCTTTACCTCTTTGGTTAGGTTTATTCCTAGGTATCTTCTGCTTTTGGGTGTAATTAGAAATGTAATTGACTCCTTAATTTCTTTCTTTAGTCTCATTGTTAGTGTATAGATACGCCACTGATTTCTGGGCATTGATTTTGTAACCTGCCACACTGCTGACTCGCTATAAGAGTTCTAGCAATCTTGGGGTGGAGTCTTTTGGATTTTGTATGTACAGTATCATGTCACCTGTGAAGAGGAAGAATTTGACTTTTTCTTGGCCAATTTAAATGCCTTTTATTTCTTTTTGTTGTCTGATTGCTGAGGCTAGGATTTCTAGTACTGTTGAATGAGTGAGAGTGGACATCCCTGTTGTGTTCCTGATCTTAGGGGAAAAGGCTCTCAGTGTTTCACCCTTGAGAATGATACTCCCTTTGGACTTTTCATAGATGGCTTTTAAGATACTGAGGAAAGTCCCTCTATCCCTACACTCTGAAGAGTTTTGATCAGGAATGGAGGCTGTATTTTGTCAAATGCTTTTTCTGCATCTATTGAGAGGATCACACGGTTCTTTTCTTTTCTCTTGTTGATATGATCTATCACATCAATTGTTTTTATGAGTGTTGAACCACCCTTGCATTCTGGGAATAAATCCCACTTGGTCATGGTGAATAATCTTCTTAATGTATTGTTGGATCCTATTGGCTAGTCTCTTGTGAGAATTTTTGCATCTGTGTTCATCAGGGTTATTGGTCTATAATTTCTCTTTTTGGTGGGGTCTTTGTCTGGTTTTAGAATTAAGGTGATGCTGGCCTCATAAAATGAGTTTGGAAGTATTGTGTCCCTTTCTACTCTGTGGAACAGCTTTAGTAGAATAGGTATTGTTTCTTCTTGAAACATTTGATAGAATTCCCCTGGGAAGCAGTCTGGCTCTGGACTTTTGTGTCTTGGGAGGTTTTTGATGACTGCTTCAATTTCCTCCTTGGTTATTGGCCTGTTCAAGTTTTCTACTTCTTCCTGATCCAGTTTTGGTAATTTGTGGTTTTCCAGAAATGAATCCATTTTTTCTGAATTGCCTAATTTATTGGTGTTTAGCTGCTCATAATACTTTTTTCTTTTTTAAAAGATTTTATTTATTTATTCATGAGAGACAGAGAGAGAGAGGCAGAGACACAGACAGAGGGAGCAGGCTCTACGCAGGGAGCCCCATGTGGGACTCTATCCCAGGTCCCCAGGATCAGGCCCTGGACTGAAGGTGGCACTAAACTGCTGGACCACCTGGGCTGCCCTCATAATACTTCTTAAAAATCATTTGTATTTCCTTGGTATTGGTTGTGATCTCTCCCTTTCATTCATGATTTTATTAATTTGTGTCTTTTTTCTTTTTAATAAGGGTGGCTAATGGTTTATCTTATGAATTTTTTCAAAGAACTAACTCCTGGTTTTATTGATCTGTTCTACAGTTCTTCTGGTCTCTATTTCATTGAGTTCTGCTCAAATCATTATTATCTCCCTTCTTCTGCTTGGTATAGGTTTTATTTACTGTTCTTTCTCCAGTTCCTATAGGTGTGAGGTTAGCTTGTATATTTGAGTCTTTTCCAATTTTTTGAGGAATGCTTGTATTGTGATGTATTTCCCTCTTAGGACTGCTTTTGCTGTATCCCAAAGATTTTGAACAGCTGTATCTTCATTTTCATTAGTTTCCATGAATCTTTCTAATTCCTCTCTAATTTCCTGGTTGACCCATTCATCTTTTAGTAGGATGCTCTTTAGCCTCCACGCGTTGAGTTTCTTCCAAATTTCTTCTTGTGATTGAGTTCAAGTTTCAAAGCATTGTGGTCTGAAAATCTGCAGAGGACAATCCCAATCTTTCGGTATCAGTTGAGACCTGATTTGTGACCCAGTATGTGTTCTATCCTAGGGAAAGTTCCATGTGCACTTGAGAAGAATGTGAATTCAGTTGCATTTGGATGGAAAGTTCTGTATATACCTGTGAAATCCATCTGATCCAGTGTATCATTTAAGCCCCTTGTTTCTTTGGTGATATTGTGCTTAGAAACTCTGTCAATGGGCAGCCCTGGTGGCGCAGTGGTTTAGCGCCGCCTGCAGCCTAGGGCGTGATCCTGGAGACCCTGGATCAAGTCCCACGTCAGGCTCCTGCATGGAGCCTGGTTCTCCCTCTGCCTGTGTCTCTGCCCCCCCCTCTGTGTGTGTGTGTGTGTGTGTGTGTGTGTGTATGTGTGTCTATGAATAAATAAATTATCTTTAAAAAAAATTTTAAAAAAATCTGTCACTTGGAGAAAGCACCATGTTGAAGTCTCCTACTCCAGTGTATTATTATCTGAGTATGTCTTTACTTTGGTTATTAATTGATATACTGGGCAGCTCCCACATTAGTGGCATAAATATTCATGATTGTTAGGTCTTCTTGTTTGATAGGCCCTTTAAATATGATATAGTGTCCCTCTTCATCTCTTACTACAGTCTTTGGGATAAAATTTAATTTATCTGATATGAGGACTACTACCCCAGCTTTCTTTTGAGGACCATTTGAATGGTAAATGGTTCTCCAACTTTTCAATTTCTGGCTGGAGGTGTCCTTAGGTCTCAAATGAGTCTCTTGTAGACAGCAAACAGATGGGTCTTGCTTTTTTATCCAGTTTGAAACCCTGCATCTTTTGATGGGATCATTTAGCCCATTCACGTTCAGAGCAACTATTGAAAGATATGAATTTAGTGTCATTGTAATACTTACTCAGTCCCTGTTTTTGTGGATTGTTTCTTTGGGCTCCCTCCTTTTTTTACAGGGTTCCCCTTAATATTTCTTGCAGAACCGGTTCGTGGTCACATATTCTTTCAGTTTCTGCCTATCCTGGAAGCTCTTTATCTCTTGTTCTATTCCGAATGACAGCTGGATAAAGTATCCTTGGTGGCATGTTCTTCTCATTTAGTACCCTGAATATATCATGCCACCACTTCTGGCCTGCCAGGCCTCTGTGGAGAGGTCTGCTATAATTTGATACTTCTCCCCATATTAGTTAAGCATCTCTTGTCTATCACTTCTTTAAGGGTTTTCTCTTTATCTTTGGAATTTCTAAGTTTCACTATTAAATGTTGAAGTGTTCAATGGTTTTTATTGATTGGGGGGGGGGGCTCTGTCTCCTGGATCTGAGTGCCTGTTTCCTTCCCCAGATTTGGGAAGTTCTCAGCTATGATTTGTTCAAATATGCTTTCGACCCTCTGTCCCTCTCAGCCTCTTTTGTATCCCTAATTATATGTAAATTCTTCCTCTTTAAGCCATCATTTATTTCCCTTAACCTTTCTTCATGGGCTCTTGTTTTTCTCTTTTTCCTCAGTTTCCTTCCTTGCCATCAACTTGTCTTCTGTGTTGCTTACTCTGTCTTCCACCTCATTAACCCTAGTAGTTAGGACATCCAGTGTGGATTGCAAATCATTTAATTTTTAATTTCGGCCTGATTAGATCTAAATTCTGTAATCCTGAAGTCTCTAGAATCCTTTATTATTTTTTCCAGAGCCATCAGTAGCTTTATAATTGTGCTTCTAAATTGGCTTTCTGACATCGAATTGTAATCCATATGTTGTAGCTCTGTGACAGAGATTACTGTTTCTGATTCTTACTTTTGTGGGAAGTTCTTCCTTCTAGTCATTTTGCTCCGTGCGAAGTGACTGTATGAGCAGGCTGAGTCAAGAATATCAACGATGACCTAAGTAAATTTCATCCTAGATGATTCTGACAAGATCAAAGACTAGAAAATGATTAAGATCAGAACAAAATAAAAAGGACTACTAAAGTGATAAATTTTAAAACAAGTAGTGAAAAGTAAAAGGCCAAGAATCCCCAAAAAAAGAAAAAAAGAGCAGAAAGCACAAGTAAAGAGGGAGAAAAAAGGAAAAAGGATACAGGAATAAATGAATGAATGAATGAATGAATGAATGAATGAATGAATGGGGTCTGGGTGATGGTGGTGGTGAAGAAGTGGTAGTGGAGGGAGAATGTAGTCTACCTGAGGGGTCCTAGAGGGTGATCCTCTTGGTTCTGAGTATATTTTGTTCTCTATGGTAGAGGATGCTCAGTCCCAAATTTAAATAAACCAATACTTGTAGAAGGCCCCAACATTGACCACCAAAACATAAACAAGATAAAAGAGGGGGGCAGAATAGGAATGAAGAGAGAATATAATCTCACCAAATGAACCAGCCCGGTATACCATTTGGTTCTGGGTGCATGTTGGTCATGTTTTAGAAGGTATTAACTTCTACCATTGTAATACAAAATGAGGCAGATAAAAACAAACAACAAAAAAAAACAAAACAGAAAACAAAAACCTGTATCTTGTATATCTCCCAAAATTAAGTTGAGTATGTTGAAGGGAATGTAGAAGTGGAAAATATATCTATGACATATAATTGTGTAGAAATATGAAAGTCCAAAAGGAAGAAACTTAAAAATGAAGAGGTGGTAAAATATTACAGTTAAGGTTGGAAAAGAGAAAAAATACTGGAAATTTTTAGTCTGATATAAAAACGAGTTGTACTGGGAAAAGGGAAAAAAAGGAAGGGTACCCTCTTAGTTCTATATACTGTAAATCCCTCGACTCCCCCTGGAGCTTTCCAGCGCTGCTCAGTCTAGGACTTGCTCTTCCTCGTCCTTCCAGCTGGTCTCTGGGGGAGGGGCTTACTGTGCTGATTCTCAGGTGTGTGCACCTGGGCGAGATCCCCGCCCCCCCCCCCAATCGGGTGCCGGCTCAGTGGGAGCTGTTTACCCAGTGAGGCCCCTGTCCCCTGGCAGCCCCGCCCCTCCCAGGCACAGGGTGACACCGGGAGGAACCACCACACTGGCAGCAGCCAGGTCCTGACCTGGAGTCAGCTCCCCGCGGGTAACTACCCTAGTCTCCCAGTCCACACTGGCCTGGATGCTCCGGTGGTGGGGGTCGCTGACCTGCACCGCTTAGGGGCGCCCAGCGGCAGGAGAGTCCTCCCTGTCCTATGCACTCCCCCTTCTACCTGTCCCGGGGGGAGCACAGGATGGTGGGCTGTGTCCAGGCGCCCTGGGACCCGGGGCCTGTGCTGCTGGAATCGTGCTCCCGGGGCCTCCGAATGCAACAGGGTGCAGCTTGTTTGATTAGCTGCCCACCTAATCGATTGGCTTCTCCAGATGCCCCGAGGGGTTTGGTCCAGTTTGTGGTGCATTTCTCTCCCCCACCCCCCTCAGGCACACTTCCTCTGTGAGTGACTCAGGAAACTGGTGGCTTCACTGCCACTCCTTCGATTCTGCCCAATTTTTCTGATACGTGCTTTTTCTTCTGGGAAGAATCTGGTGTGGATTTTTAAAGTTCCTGCATCTCAGGACTGGGCTTTCCTGTCCTGGAGGCTTTTGCCGCCCGGCCCTTAGCCCGGCTCCTCACGGGGCCCCTCTCCGACTTGATTCTTTTTTTTATTTTTTTCCCTTCCTTCCTACCTTGTTAGAAGCGAAAACCCTTCTCTCTGTAGCGTTCCGGGTGCTCTCTCTTTAAATCTCAGGTCGAATTCATAGGTATTCAGGATGGCTTGAGATTTATCTAGGTAGTTGGTGGGGCCAGGTTAGTTGAGGACCCCTCCTCTTCTGCCATCTTGCCCCCTATTTGACAGCTTCTCTCTTCTCAGTGCCCCTCCCCTACTCCTACTCTCGCTCTTGCGAGCTCTTCAACTCTGCCTCACACATCATTGCAAATATAAAGGCCATTAGGCTAAATCCAAGGCTTCCGCTTCCATCTCTGGCAAACCCTTCTGCTTGGAATCCAGGCCCATCTCTTCATGCCTTCTTGGGCCCTTCCTCCTCGCCTTCTCTCTCCGGTGTCCTCAGTTTCCTCCCTCTGTTGATGCCTTTCCATTGGCACACAATTCCCTCTGCTATCACCTGTTTAAGGAATGCCTTCCTCGACCCCATGACTCCTTGCTGCTCTCCCTGCTTCCTCGACACCCCTCCCTCGTGGAAAGATTGTGCTCCCTGCTTTTATTTCCTCAGGCCGTAACTGAGCTGGTGCTACCACCTCGCCCTTACTTGCTATCGGGGTCACTGAAAAGGGAGTGTCTCTTCTGTGGGCCTTTGTTAATTTGACCTCTCAACACTGGTGGCGGCTCCTTCCTCCTTGGACTGTTTGCTCCTTGCGCCTCTCCTGGTTTTCCCTGCCTCACTTGCTCCTTCTCAGATTTCCTTGATGACTCTTCTTCCTGGGCCTGCCTGTGTCCTCTTCTTTCTCTCTGGTCTGCACCCTGCCCAGCTTCTGCGTGTTGGCATCTCACAAAAAGAATTCATTTTACCCATGAAACCTGCCTCTCCTCCAGCCCACCCTATGTGATCAAGTCGCACCACTGTCTGTCTGTTAAGCCAAATCCCTGGAAGTTATTCACTCTTTCCTCCCCTCCTCTTCCCATATAGTCCACTAGCAAGTCCTTTGCGGTCTGTTTTCTCAATGGATCCCCTGTCTACCTGCTGTTTTTCCTCCCACTGTAATGATTCAGGCCTGCTGCAGACCACCCCACATGCCCCCTTTCAACCCAACTGCTGCTGTGGCGTCTTACCAGGGCTCCTCATCCATTCCAACCCCCTAGCAGTGTCTCTTCTCCACAGCAGCCAGTAACTCTTTAAACATGTAAATCATCTTATAGCTCCCTTTTCATAAGCCCTTCATTTTTTATTCTGTTAGAAAATATTGTAAATTTCCATTGGGCTCCTCTGGGGATCTCATGAGTGTATTTTTCCTCTATGATGAGGTAATTACTCATTGTTACACATTATCATAGTAATCTGCTTGTTTACTTCCCTCTCCAAGAATTGTTTGAATTGTGACATGTGTATTCCTTGTAGAAAATTGTCTGGAACTTGAGAATCATGGTAATGCAGAAGTGAAGTGGCATCTGTCATCTTTAGCTCCACCTTATGTCAAGGTCAGTAATAATTGCCTTAAACATATTCATTTCAATGTTTAAACTTTATTCAGGGTGTTTTTTATACTGAATTACGAACATAGGTTGGGATTATTGGGTTTTTGTCCTACTAATTTACTTCCTTGATTTCCTCTATAGATGGAGCTAATAAATGCCCCATCTTTTGCACAAGGTGGTTTTTAGAGTCAAATTAAAGAGTGTGTGTGAAAATATGTGCTAGCTCATTTAACAGTACCTCCTACAGTTTTAATTTTTATCTGAAATAACTTTATTTTGAAAAAAATATACAAAAATTTTATTATGGAACATTGTGTGTGTGCACACGTATGCATTTTTCTTTCCCACATTCTGAATACTGATGTGTGTTTTTAGCCAGGAGGAGTCAGTGTAAGAGACAGAATGGAATGTTCTTTGTCTGTGAGTCCTAGCCTATTCTGTACTGTAAATAGTCTCCACCATTGGGCTCTACCTAAATAGAGCATGTTGTCACGTATGTGGTTTGGAATACTCTGGCCTTTCTGCCATGTATTTCATATGAGACTAGAAGCTTTGAGCCCTAATACTATCAAAATGTGTGCAAAAGATAGTGCTGTACCCACTGACAAAAAATAACTCCTATTGCATGTGATGTTAAAATGCACATTCAGCAGGGTCTTTGAGGAGAAGGCAGTCCTTCCACATCATGAGCACCATTCTGAAGATAACTGTAGCCAAAGAGGAGTGGCTGGTGATGGAGAGGAGAGTAGTGGGAGGTCTTGTGTGAGCAGAGTTAAGTAGCGCTCCCACTCTAAGGCAAGCATTGAGCTCTCCTATCCCCTGCAAAAAAAAGGGGGGGGGGGTTGTGTGTCCTTGGTAACCATAAAGGTAATGGTCTTGCTTTGAATTGATCTACTGATTTTGTTGTTTGTTTGTTTGCTTGTTTAAATGATTATAGGGAGTTGATGACAGTGGAGATGTTTTTAGAGCTACCTATGCAGCATTCAGATGTTCTCCTATTTCTGGTATACTGGAAAGCCGAGGAATTCAGAAGGTGAGTCTTGACATTTTTTTCATAGCCATTGGCAAGAACATGATGTTGATTGACCAGGAGTGCCTCATTTGTTGCCACCCAGAGCAATTGCTTCCCCTAGACCAGTACTGCTAACAACCAGCTTGCCACAGGAAAGGAGGCCTGCCTCAGTGCACGTCAGTGTTCTGCTTCCTACAGCAGAGGTCTTGCTTTCTAAACAGCTAAACAAAATGCCATGCTTAGTGGTAGGATTGATTTACATTCTGATATAAGGATTTCATGTGGCCACAGACTACCAGTACTTAGAAAACACTCTGAGTAGCTCTGATCTAGGCAATAGTTTTGTCCACCAGCCATAATAGAAAAATCTGCCACTACTCAAAAACAACTCCGTGTTCATGTCATAATAAACAATATATTTTCATGGGCCAGTGGTGATGAATCTTTTTAGCACCATGATCCTCTTAAGTTCTAATTCACTTGTGGACCTGATACAGCTTTTTCAAATATCTCTTAGGGGCAGTCATCATTCACTTGGCCTCAATATTCTTTTTTCACGCTAACAGCTGAAACTCATTTAAACTATAGCATTTATAGGATATTGGTCTATTTATTCAGAGATTCAGACTTTTTTTTTCTTTTTGAGATTCAGACTTATAATCAGTTCTAGATTATAGTTGTGAACTCATTACTGACTGTACAAGAATCTTTGAGCATTGATAGTCACAAACCCTGTGTACTTTACTAGGTCTGTATAAACAGGCTTCCAGAGGGTTTCTGACCTTTTTGGAAAGACATGCTGTACTACAGCATAGTTGATTTCATTTCCCAGCCCACAGTAGGGGCAAAGCAGCATAATAGGGAACAGACACATTACTTAACAAAAGTTCAACATTTAGGGCAAAGGCAGTGGGGAAAGGGTTCCCAAAAAAGCCAGCGGGAAAGACATCCCATGGTCATCAATCAGAAGATCTAATATTACTAAAATAGCAGTACTCCCTAAATTGATGTACAGATTCAATATAATCTCAATCAAAAAATCTCAGCTGTTGTTTGGGTTTATTGTTTTTCTTAAATTGACATGCTGATCCTAAAATTCATGTAGACCTGCACAAGAACCAGAATAACCAAAGCAATCTTGAAAAAGATCAAAGTTGTAGGATTCACTTTCCATTTTCAAAACTTACAGTAATCAAAACTATAGTATTGACATAAGAATAGACATGTAGAATATGTGGACTTGAGAGTCCCCAGATAAACCTCCCTATTTATGATCAGTTTATTTATTTTATTTATTTATTTTAATAAGAGTACTGAGACCATTCAATAAAGAAAGAATATTTTCAGCAAATGGTGCCAGGACAACTGATATCCACATGCAAAAGAATTAGTTGGATCCTTACTTCATACTGTATCCAAAAAGAAACTTGAAGAAGACCATAGACCTAAATGTTAAGAGCTAAAACTATAGAATTTTTGGAAGATAACATAGTAAACATTCATGGCCTTGGGTTGAAGCCTTGATTTCTTAGATATGACACCTGTAAAACACAAGTGACAAAAGAAAAAAATAGCTGAATTATCAAAATATAAAATTCGAGTGCATCAGAGGATACCATTAAGAAATGAAAAGTCTGGAATGCCTGGGGGGCTTAGCAGTTGAGCGTCTGCCTTTGGCTCAAGGGTGTGATCCAGAGTCCCAGGATCGAGTCCCACATTGGGCTCCCTGCATGGAGCCTGCTTTTCCCTCTGCCTCTCTCTCTCTCTGTCTCTTATGAATAAAATCTTTAAAAAAAAAAAAGGTAAGAAAGTGAAAAGTCTGGGGCACCTAGGTAGCTCAGCTGGTTAAGCGTCTGCCTTCGGCTCGGATCATGATCCTAGGATCAAGCCTAGTATGGGGCTCCCTGCTCAGTGGGGATTCTGTTTCTCCCTCTGCTCCAACCCCCACCCTGGCTCATATTCTTTCTCTCAAATAAATAAATAAAAATCTTAAAAAAAAAAAAAGTGAAAAGGCATCCCAGATTATGGGAGAAAATGTTTAGAAATCATATATTTAATGAAGGATTTGTATCCAGAATGTATAACAAACTCTTACAACTAGACAATACAGAGACAAATAACCAGTTTAAAAAATGGGTCAAAGATCTGAATAGACATTTCTCTAACAAAAAAGATACACGGACAATAAATACATGACAGCATATTTAGAATCACTGTTCATTAGGGAAATGCAAAACAAAATCACAGTGAGTTATCACTTTACACTCTTAGGATGACTGAGTTTTTGATCAGACAGTAACAAGTTTTGGTGAGGATATAGAGAAATTAAGCCTTCCTACACTGCTGGTGGGAATAGTAAATGGTACCACTGCTGTTGGAAAACAGTTTGACAGTTCTTCAAGTTAGATGTAGAATTACTGTATGACCCAGGAACTCCACTTCTGGATATATACCCCAAGGCGTTGAAAATCAGTATTCAAACAAAAACTTCTATACAGATATTTGTAGCAGCCTTATTCAAGATAGCCAGAAAGGATAGAAATAACCCAAATGTCCATCAGCTGATAGAGTGATAAAGTATATATCCATACAATGAAAGATTACTTGGCAATAAAAAGAAATGAAGTACTAATAACATGCTACCACATGAACCTTGACAGCATGCTAAGTGAAGCAATCCAGACACATAGTTATATGACTCAATTTGTGTGACATGTGAAATAGGTCAATCTGTAGAGTCAGAAAGTAGATACATGGTTGTTCGGGCTGGGAGTGAAGGTGGAGAGTGGGGAATGGCTGCTGATGGTATAGGGTGTTTGGGTTTTTTTTTTGATTGTTGAAAATACTTTAAAATCAGATTACACTGGTGGTTACATAGTTCTGGAAATATACTAAAAACCCTGACTATGCTTGAAGTGGGTGAATTGTATGGTATATGAATTCTATCTCAGTGAGGCTTTGAAAATAGAAAAACAAGGATACAGGACTAGGTTGTCTCCTGGGAATTTCTCCTTTTACACAGTACCTAACATAAAAAGGAAACCTCAATGAGATCTTTGATTTGTGTCCATCACTGCATATCTTGGACTAAACTATTTGCTTAGCACACTGTCAGGTCACATTTGTCAACTGAACTCCAGGTCTGGGTACTTAATTTATGTTAAGGGAAAAGAAAGCAAGGTAATATCATACTGGAACCGTTTAGGGAAGTACTCCCCAAAACAACAACTATTGACATAGTGATCCAGAAGGAAGAAAAAATTAGTTACCTATTTGAATGGGATTAAAGTTCCTATTATGTGTCTTAATGTGTGTCACATAGAATAATACTAGGTTTTCTCCTCCTCTTTATTTTTGGTGTTGGAAGGCAATGTTAGGTGAGATTTGTAGAGTCCATGGTACTCTAGTGCCCAGTGATTCCAGATAATTTGTACATATTCACCGTTTAGGACATGGTTGTTTTCATTCTTCTGTGATCTTCTCAGCGTCCACATCCTCTTTAATGGTGTAATTCCCTGATACTGATAATAGCCTCTCCTCCATCAGTATCTCGCCTTTGCCTCCACACTCTAAGACTTGCTGGCTGCGTTGTTTCTTATGTTTTGTATTAACAAATTGGGTCGCTTAACAGTTTTAATGTTAAGTCCAGACTCAAATACACTGATTAGTGGTTAACCTAACCAATAGTACTTTTTTTTTTTTTTTTTTTTTACCAATAGTACTTTTAACACTAATTTTTTTTTTTTAAGATTTTATTTATTTACTTATGAGAGACACAGAGAGAGGCAGAGACACAGGCAGGAGAAGCAGGCCCGGTGCAGGGAGCCTGATGTGGGACTCGATCCCTAGTCTCCAGGATCACGCCCCGGGCCAAAGGCGACGCTAAACTGCTGAGCCACCCAGGCTGCCCAACACTAAATTTTTTAATAAAGGAAGCACTTAACACTGGTAAACTTTATAAAAGTCTGTTTTTAAATCTTACAACTTTCTCATTACTGAGCTTTTACAGGTTGTATGCATATAGATCGTATGTATAACTTTGAGGTGTGTAGTTGAAGTAACTGTTTCTAGGCCTTAGGCCTTTACTGTGTGGCCAGCAAGAGGGTTCCATAAGCATTGCAGTGAAAGACTGGATTGTGTTACTGGGGTTAACTATCTTGATTTAGGTCTTGTAGTTGACAGCTCTAGAAATTTTTGATAATGTAAATAACATTTACATTTTGAGGAATATATTACATAGAACCTGAAAGAAAAGTGTATTTTGGATATGGTGTAATTTTCTACCAAAAGTAGAATTGTTCAATTTCCTTTTCAATTAGTGGCAAAACCATATAGCAACTACATGCATATGAGGCTCAGGATCTAAATTTCTCCCCTGGATGTGTTATTTTGTAGGTCTCCATCACGTTTTTGCCCAGAGATAGAGGGGATTATGCTCAGTTTTGGGATGTTGAGTGTAACCCCCTTAAGGAGCCTCATAGGAAACATACCTTGAGATTTCAACTCTCTGGGCAAGTGAGTATTACACTGAATTTAAGTAAATTATTGTGTGTGTATATTAAAAACATTAAGTGAAACTGACATGGAAAACTGTCCTGAAAATGCAAACTGTATTCCTGGTGGTATTCTAATTTCATTAATCCTGTTGTCTGGCTCTGTAATCTTAATTTTCTCATTTGCCTTTATTGATGGGTATGTTTGAGGTCTGGGTTTGGCTCTATGAAATTTGTTTGACTTGATTAGGTAAGATTGTGTGTGTGTATATATATATAAAAGAGGCTGAACAGTAAAAAATACAGGAATTACAATTCAGGGCATTTACAAATCTTAAATTTTCTTTTAAAAGGGAAATAGGGATCCCTGGGTGGCGCAGCGGTTTAGCGCCTGCCTTTGGCCCAGGGCGCGATCCTGGAGACCCGGGATCGAATCCCACGTCGGGCTCCCGGTGCATGGAGCCTGCTTCTCCCTCTGCCTGTGTCTCTGCCTCTCTTTCTGTCTCTCTGTGACTATCGTAAATAAATAAAAATTAAAAAAAATTTTAAAAAAAAAAAATAAATAAATAAAAAAATAAAAGGGAAATAGTAGAATTCAGATAGGTAAATGTCCATATATTTTTCCAAGAGTATTTATTTCTCCTTTCTCACCCTTCATTTTCTTTTTTATAGAGTGTCAAAGCAGAAAATGAGCCTGAAGGTTCACAAATTTCCACAAACTCCCTCATTAAACTGGATAATTTAGTTATGCCCCGAAGACAAGGTGTATCAGAGACTGCTCTCATACCCAGGTATGTTGTTTTTACCATTCTTTTGACATTTTCTCCAGTACTTTGAGATATAATTACATTCAGTAAAGTGCTCAGTGAGCTTACCTATGAGCTTTCATGCATTGCTACAACTCTAATGAAGATAGAGAAGAATATTTCTCTCACCTGAAAAGCTCTCACACATCCCTTTGCAGTCAGCCCCACCCTCAACCCAGTATCCATTCTGGTCTATGGCCATAGGTTGGTATTGTTGAATTTCATACACATACACACTCCTTGAGTTCTGGCTGCTTTCACCACACATAATGTTTTTGGGATTCATTTGTGTTGTAGAGCATATATGTAGTTTGTCCCTTTTCATTGTCAAGTATTGCTTTATGTGAACATATCACAGTTAATTCATTTTCCTGGTGACATTTGAGTGCTCCATATTTGGGGCCATTATAAGTGAAGGTGCTATGAGCATTATTGTATGTGTATTTTTGTGGATGTACCTTTTAATTTCCTTTGGGTAAAAACACCTGAAGAATAGAACTGCTGGGTCATATTGTACACATGTGCTTAACTTTAAAACAAACTGCCAGGTAGTTTAAACAAAATGACCATACCATTTTATGTTCCCTGGAACACTGTGTAAAAGTTGATTCTTTAAAAACTTCTTTTTTTATTTTTATTTAATAGTTTATTATATTTCTTAGTAATCTCTACACCCAACTCATGACACCAAGATCAAGAGTTGTATGTTCCTCTAACTGAGCCAGCCAGGCGCCCCTTAAAAACTTTCTAAAAAAAATTTTTTTCCAGGAGCTTATACAGCTCTAATGATAGTATTTAAGTATTTTACCTAATAAACATGTTTTCTTACAATCCTTAATTAACTAATGTTTAGGTCTAACTTTGTTCTGGAGGAAGATGCTTGTGAGAAAAATTAAATGTTAAATACCTGCTAAATTTAATATACATGTTGTCATTTATTTTCTAATGGAAGTAAATAATGCAGTTTTTAAGAAATTAGGCTCCTTTGAAGAATATGCATTCTTACCACACTCTTTTGATGCCATTTACTCATTTGTTCATCTCATCTTTACGGAGTGCTGCCATGTAGTGGAAGCAGAACTGCCCTGGTCCTTGCTCCAGGGACTTCATCTCCTGGAGAAGGAGCCCCATCACAAATAATCTCACTTACCATCCATGGAAAGGACTGAAAGGAAATAAATGAGAAACATGACAGAGGGAGCTTGATATGTGATACCTGGGAAGAGCCTCCCTGAAATTGGACCTTTGAGTTGAGGAGGATGAGTAGAAATGATGGAGGTGTAAGGACTGGGTGGTGGTTGTTGGCCCTTGCAGAACCAAAGGCCTAGAACCCAGAGGGAGAGAGAGTATTGTGAACTGAGGCCAGAGGGCTGGTGGGGAGAAGCAGACCACACAGGGCCTCACCTGTCAGATGTTAATTTGGGGTTTATCTAGGAAGCTGTTGGAAGCCATTGAATGACATCAGATTCCAGTATTTGTAGAAAAATCCTCTGGCTGTGGTATAGTCTGATTAGAAGGAGGCAAGAGTAGATAGGGTAAAATGAGTCAGAAGCTATTTTTTTAAGTAGTCCAGAACTAAAGTAGTGTCAAGAAAGATGAAGAGAAATGGACAGATAGGAGAAGTCTATAGAAGGAAATTCAAAGGACTCAGTAAATGGGTTTGAGTAAAGGGGCTTGAAAGAGAACAGTGGTCAAAGTTGGCTCCCAAACAGAAATAAACTCGAAGGTCAGGTTTGAGAAGATCCCAGGTTTAATCTGTATTTGTGGAGACAGATCACTGTATGGTGATAGGCGTGTTGCCTAGAGGCTCAGTCTAGGCTGAGATACAGACCTGGGAGTCACATGAGGGTGGGGTTGCTGGATCACCGCGCCGGAATTGCCTAGGGAGACTGTGCGAGAGCGTAGGGATGTCCAGGATCCAGCCCCAGAGGACAGTAGCATTGGTGGTGAGGGAGTGGGAATGAGCTTGCACAGACGGCCTGGCATCTAGGTCACTGCATCAAATGCTGTCGAGAGACTAGAGCTTGAGTCCTACCATCAGGGTAGTGTGTCAGGAAAAATGAAGGTCATCCAGTGGACTGCATGGTGAGTGGTATGGGTAACATGAACTAAGGTAACAGGAGCACCTGCATGCACATGGGGTGTGAGGCGAGCAGAGAGGCTTTCTCCGGGGAGAGAGGAGCTGTCCTGTCCCACGTAGCAGCTGACCCTACAGCTTGTCAGACTGCTGTGGTGGTGTTCGATCTTCACACACAGTAATGAAGCTGCCATTACAGAACTAGTTTCCAGCTGAGTTGTGAGAGAAAATACAAATCAAAACACAAAACACTTCCTAACTGCATATAGACAAGTAGTTTAAATTACTTACCTGGATTTTAAATAGTTGATTTTTCAATCTGTTTCCAAAGCAGGCAGCTTGACTTGACTCACCGTGGGGTTTATGCCTCAGAAGATGTGTATCGGTTTCTGCCAACTAGGGTAGGGGAATCCAGGACGTTGAAGGTCAATTTGCGAAATAATTCTTTCATTATGCACTCTGTAAGTTGGAAATAGTATTGTGGGTTTTGGGAAAGTGGATGTGTTCAACTATTTGATAAATATTTTCCTAATAGAGGGAGACAGAACATGAGAGACTCCTAACTCTGGGAAACAAACTAGGGGTGGTGGAAGGGGAGGTGGGCAGGGGGTGGAGGTGACTGGGTGACGGGCACTGAGGGGGACAGTTGATGGGATAAGCACTGGGTGTTATTCTATATGTTGGCAAATTGAACACTGATAAAAAATAAATTTATAAAAAATATATATATATAATTTCCTGATAATTTAGGAGCTCGTTCTATAGTTTATACTTGAGTTATAATAATGAGTTGATTTTTTTTCTTTTAATGCTTTATACTGTGTTTGAAAACAGACTCCTGGGAAATTCATGAGTTTTTATCTCAAAATCAGAAATATTTAGCATTTGTTTTCATATTTTCATTTTAAAATTTTTCCTTGTTTTCTTTTTCTTCTGTACCGTCACACCAACATATTTCTGGATAACATTTACTCTAATTAGAACTAGAGTAAATTCATATTAAATTATTTTAAGTGCATTTTCATGAGCATTTATTGTCTTAATTTTGTGATTATACTGAAATTTACTAGACACCTTTAATTAAAGAAATGCATGGCATGTTTTAAGTGTGCTCAAATATCTAACTTGCATAACTTAATAAAGTGTTTCATCTTAAATTCCAGCTGAAATTTTTAAGTCCCAGAGAGCCTTTCTACGTCAAACATTCAAAATACTCTCTGAGGTGAGTTTATCATAAATCAAAATGTTCTCATCCTAGTGCAGGACTTTGTTTTCAGGACTTTAGGATTTCTCCTGGGGGTTGGGACTTGTGAGCTCTCCCCATTCCACGATAGCTCGTCATCACCATCACCAACCCCACAGAGCATTCCTTATGTTTTTGAAAAAAAAAAGCTGAGGAACCTGCAGGGAAAGCATTTCATGACTGCCTTTCATGACTGCATATAAGTGTGCTTTACTATCTAGCAACCCAAACTTTGTGAGATGGTTTGGATTTAGCATGTGATTCCTGCTACCTGGTCTTTTGCTCGTCACATAAATATATAAAATATTAATTATCTTATGATTTAGAATAAATCCTGCTTTAAATGTTATTTTTACTATGCTGAGGATCAGGGAGTTAAATTTTCAATAATTGGGACAAAAACCTTCCCAGATTAACTGGGAAAACTTTTACTATATTTGTCCTTCTTCAAATACCCTATACTTCTTAAACTAGGGCCTCATTTTCTTGTCATCCTTACTACTCTTTGTTTTCCATATGGTCTATATTTAGATTGAAATCTCAAACTGGGTTGTTACTGTTATATAGAATTTTAACAGTAGGGTTCTGTTGGACTTACCACTGAAGAATAATTTTATCTCTTTGAATCTTTAATTAAGCTATTTAATTATAAGATATTTTATTTTAGTGTTAGATGATTCCAAAAACATGTTATGTTCCATTGAAAACTTGGAGCACCCTGTAAACATTCAAGGACTGCCTCTGAAGCACCAAGACTAGCACCAGGACCAGCCCCATGGATTGTGATGGAACAACACGTTTTCACGTCCCTTCTTTTCTTATAATCCCTTAAAAAGCTACATGGAAGAGAAAGGTCTAAGTTTAAAACACCATGACTACACATTTTCTAGCTTCTGCACTCTGAGTCCTTGACTTCCAGCAGCCTGCAGGCCTCCAGTTAAGGAGGCTTTCTTTGCCCTACTGATCTAGGATGGGTGGTGTTAGATTGTGTTAACAGTGGGTGGGCACTACTGAGTACGTGAGGAAGAAGACGACCAAGTGAAGTCAACCCCAAGTCATTGAAATCCTCTCTCATGACCCTTCCATAGGCTGAAATTTTACATTTTAAAGTAAGAATGACTTCTTTCATCTTTGGAGAAGAAGCAAAACTTTGCTATGGTATCTCACTTGAAAATTTTACCATAAAACTGAAATAATAGTGCCTGTTCTTATTGTAAGTGTTGAGTGCTTTTGTGCTCATGAAATATAAATGCTGGTTGAGAGCAACGTCTAGTTTGCTTTGGCAGGTGGAAGAAACCTATTCTGAGGGTCTGAGAGGGAGTTGCCAGCTTTTCATTAGTGATGTTTTTGTTAATTAGACCTCTCTCTGCTCTATGACACCATTAACTCCAGCCAGAGTAATAACATGACTCTTTAGTCATCTATAGAGTACATGAGGTAATCCGTGCCTTACTCCTAACAGGCACCTTCCCCATGGCACTCATGAGGCCTGACGGGGCTGTTCTCCTGCTGAAACGTGAAAGCTGCCCAAGGCCTTTGGGACATAAACTGACTGCAACATAGTCAGGAGAGCTTCCCCCAGAGGCCACAGGACTTTTGCCTAGTTCAGAGGTGGGGAGCATGAATGTATGTGGGGGATGTAGCCCCCTTGAAGCGATAGATTGTAAAGAATGTAACAGGGAAAGATAAACCCTGATTATCACTTATTTGGTAAAGTTTGTTTTGAGGACTTGAGGTGATCATTTCTGTCATAGCTGTGTAAAAAGAATTCATTCATGTTCCACTTAACCCTGAAAAGCATTCTTCTGTTAACCTATTGTTTTATTCAAGTCTAATCTGCTTAGACAGTAGAGTAACTCATTTCTCCCCTCCTGTGCCCACGTCTGCCTGCACCCAGCATCCTGGCAGGCTCCTGCTGCAGAGCTACCCAGCTCTGCTATGTCATTCCAGAGGATAGGACGGTTCTCACACTAAGTCACACTGGGGACAGCACTGTCGTTACTTCTTACCAACACACAGGAACCAAGGAGTTTTACTTCATTTTCTTTGATAATGATAGTACCTTGGCTATGCTAAAAGGCTACTTTTTTCCTGCACAGAGTATTCCTTTTCAATTAAAAAGAGAAAGAAAAATTATGGTTTATATAATTTGTAGGTTCTGTAGATGGGGACATATAGTTAAGGAGGTGGTTTAGAGTGCTTTTCCACAGCTACTGCTTCACTCTCTTATGCCTCTTTGGTCTTTGTGTGCCTTTGCTGTAATGTTGGTCCTCAGCTAGTTAAGGGATTTTGAACTAGACGTCTCCTCTGGGTCTTACGTGTGTGTGTGTGTGTGTGGTGTGTGTCTGTAGAAGACAGAGATCAAAGCAGTTTTTAATAATAGTACAAGGTTAAATATATCCATCTTGTAGTGTTTTAGAGCTGCGTTCAATTTCACAGTCCTTTCTAAATTACATTCTAGTTTATTCAGAGTATCTATAAATCTAAAGCAAACAATATATGTTTATCATAATACATTCTTAAAACATTCTCAGTTGAATATAGAACATTTCTGTTCCATATTAAAATTTGTTAATGATGGATCTCTCAGTTTTATTTCAGGAATTTTATTACTTTCAGTAACTTATAAGGTATAAAGCCTCTTAAGTTAGCAAACTGTACTACATTATTCTGGGTGCTGAAATGCTAACGTGAGGGACGCCCCAGGTGGCTCAGAGGTTGAGCGCCTGCCTTCAGCCCGGGGCGTGATCCTGGAGACCCAGGATCGAATACCACGTCCAGCTCCCTGTACATGGAGCCTGCTTCTCCCTCTGCCTATGTCTCTGCCTCTCTCTCTCTCTCTCTCTCTCTCTCTCTCTCTCTGTGACTATCATAAATAAATAAATAAATAAATTTTAAAAATAAATAAATAAATAATTTAAAAAAAGAAAGAAATGCTAATGTGAAAGATAAAATGATAGTTTGTCAGTGCCAAGGACTAGGTACCATTTTTCTTAAAGTCACATTGCTTTGATACAGGAAATTAGAGTACAATGCATTTGGGGAAAATAACCCAGATGTGTGTGTGGTGTATGTGTGTGTGTGTACACATACATATACATATATTTTTTAAATTCTGCCCTGCCAGTTATATCCAGGAAAGGGGCTCTGAAATACTAAAACTGTTCTCCAAAATACTAAAATACCCAAAAGCCAACACTGTACTGAGTTTTATCAGGAAACATAATTCCAACATATATTGGAAACAAAAGCATATAACCATTCTGATTGCTGAACTTTAAAACATGTAGTTCAGAGATGAGACTCAAGGATGAAGTACCTTCCCTCTGAGGAAAGTCTAAAAGCTATAAATTTTCACTTAAAACAATTAAGACTAAACGTCAGTGACATCACATAGGTTGTGATAAAGTATATGTGGTTTCCGTCACCATAGGAATAAAGGGGTTTTTTTTTTTGTTGTTTTTTTTTGAAGCTCTTGGGATCGAGTTTTATGAACAGAAACCTCCTAACATGATACTTTTTAAAAATGATTTTTTAGAGAAAGAGAATGAACACATGCAAGCAGGGGGAGGGACACAGGGAGAGGGGGAGAATCTCAAGCAGTATCCCTGCTGAGTGTAGGGCCTGACAGGGGCTTGATCTCATGACCCTAAGATCATGACCAGAGCTGAAACCAAGGGGTAGATGCTCAGCCCAACTGAGCCACCCAGGGACCCCAAACATAATAGTTTTAGAGACAGGGCACTCATTTACTCCCTCTGTATACAATTACCCTTGAACAATGCAACGGTTAGGGCTGCCAACCTCCATGCAGTAGAAAATCTGTGTATAACTTTTGACTCCCCCCAAATTTAACTTTTAATGGTCTGTGGACCAGAAGCCTGACCAATATTAGCATTTTTGTATATGTCTTATATACCATATTCTTACAATAAAGTAAGTTAGAGAAAAGAAAATGTGATCAAGAAAATCATGAGAAAATACATTTTATTTTAAAGATTTTATTCATGAGACACGCAGAGACACAGGCAGAGGGAGAAGCAGGCTCCCTGTGGGGAGCCCGATGGTGGGACTTGATCCCAGGATCCTGGGATCTCAACCTAGCCAAAGGCAGATGCTCAACCACTGAGCCGCCCAGGTGCTCCAAGAAAATACATTTATAGTACTATACTTTTCCGGGGGGGTGGGGGGGAAATCAACACATAAATGGACCTACTTATTTGAAACCTGTATTGTTTGAGGGCCAAATATAATCTGAAAATAAATTTTCAAGAAAGTTTTTTATAACAGTTGATAATACTGAGCAAACTCTGCACAGACCTGTTGATGATGAGCATGGGGCAGGTTGGTTTAATATCCTTCCCAGGGGCTCCTGGGTGGCTCAGTTGGTTAGGTGTCTGCCTTTGGCTCAGGTCGTGGTCCTGGAGTCCCAGGATCAAGTCCCACATCGGGCTCCCTGCTCTGCAGGAAGTCTGCTTCTCCCTCTCCCTCTGCCTGCTGCTCCCCCGACTTGTGCTCTCTCTGTCAAATAAAAATCTAAAATCTATATATTATATGTATTTCTGCTGGAGGTTGAGTATGCTGCTGGAGGAGGATGGTCAGGATATGTCAGGTGTTCTCTCACTCTTAGGCAGGCCATTCTCTGCCTCTGCAAACAACACAAAGTTCCATACACAATAGCACAGACCTCTTGTTTCCCTTTTCCTATTTTTGTTGAATAGCCAGGAATATATATGCAATACTCTTTGAATCAGATTTTACATGGCCCTCTCCTCCGTGCCAGTTTCTTATTAAATAGCATCAAAGAAATGAGAACTAAACTTAAACTGAATGTAACTCTACTAAATTCTTTCATGAAAATCCGATTGTGCTCTCAGTGATATATTTCCGTGATGCACTTGCTGCTGTAGCATCAGGCTGATGACCTTTCCTTTCTCTTCACAGAGCCCAGCATTACATCAACATGCCTGTGCAGTTCAGACCCAAGTCAGTGGGCAAATTTGAAGCTTTGCTTGTTGTTCAAACAGATGAAGGCAAGAGTGTTGCTATTCGACTAATGGGTGAAGCTCTTGAAAAAATCAACTAGATATATTTTGTGTAAAGTAAATTACAAAAGTTATGTTTTGGTAACTTTTTCTTACACTACAATATTCTTTTGTATATATTTTGTAAGATTTTTGTTTGTCTTGAGAAGCTTATACTGAAGACCTAAGATATCATGTATGTAGCCTATATTATTATACTTAACATTTTTAAGGGGAGAATTCTATTTTTGCATTGATTATGATACTCTGAATAAATATGGCATATATTTTACTGTGGTGTATCCAGAAATAAACTTAATTTCCACTGAACCTTTTTTATATGATGTCTTACAGAAATCAGAATATTGCTTTTTTCTGCTATTTTTTTTCAAGCTGCTGTGGTTTTTTTTTTTTTTCCCCCTCTGTTACACTGTTTGTTTTTCTCTCTAAGAAATTCCTTCTCTGGTCCTTCTGTCTCTTAGCTAATTGCCCAGACTAGAAAGGAAGTGTACTTTTAAAGAAATTGTTTTTCTCTAGAGTAGGAGAATTCATATTCTGTGCAAATACATTGGAGAGGTTGATGTATTTTAAAACAGATTTATTGTGATGAAAGCTAAATGGGACAGCTGCTCCAGAACACTGCATAGAAGGAATGCTCCTCAAGCAGGTGCTGGGGAGGGGAGAGGGGGTATGGGGGGTGAGTCCCTGTGGGAGGATAAATGCCCAATGCTGCATCTTGAGCTGTGAGGTAGAAAAGGTGTGACACAGTTACCTGGTTTTACCCAGGAAGAATATGATTATTAATTGCTTCTCTACCAATACTATTAAGTCCCCTGATAAAGTTTTCTGAGCCCCAGCTAACAGCCTTGTTTGGAGCAGCAAAGTCCCAGATTGTGAGCAGTTGTGTAGTGGCTTGGGATGATCACAATTGGATATTATTGATGGAGCAGAAAGACCACAGAACATGCAAAAAGCTTCCTGGATGGCTCAAATCTGCAACAGTTTGGAACCAGTGATGGTGAGCTGGATCTAGAAAAACAAATTTCTTCTCTCTTTAAAGTAAAGAAATCTTTAGAAAAGGGAGGGGGCACCTGGGCGGCTCACTTGGTTAGGTGTTCAACTCTTTGTTTCAGCTCAGGTCATGATGTCAGGGTCGTGAGATCAAACACCACATCAGGTATGCTCAGCAGGAAGTCTGCTTAAGATTCTCTGTCCCTCTGCCCCTCCCCCCACTCATACACTCTTTCTCTAAAAAATAAATCTTTAAAAAAAGAAAACCATGGAATTTTTTCTTTTCTACCTTATTTTCTCTTGCTTAGAAAGTCTTTCTTAGAAATCAAATTTATGAACACATTTTTCACAAGTTAAGCAGTTGTTTCTGTTACTGATAGTGCCCTACTCCAATCCAGATTTCGTATATCAAATGTGGATCACTTCATGCTTGAATGTGTATTTATTTGGTAACATTCAGCCTCAAAAATCTTGAAATAGTGGTATTGCTTTTTAAAAATGCTCCTCAGTGGGGCAGCCCGGGTGGCTCAGCAGTTTAGCGCCACCTTCAGCCCAGGGTGTGATCCTGGAGACCTGGGATCGAGTCCCGTGTCAGGCTCCCTGCATGGAGCCTGCTTCTCCCTCTGCCTGTGTCTCTGCCTCTCTCTGTCTCATTCTGTGTCTCTCATAAATAAATAAAATCTTTATTTAAAAAAAAAAAACAAAAAACGTTCCTCAGTGTTACTACATTTCTGTTTAACCATCACTTTGCCTTGTAGGTTTTACTTAGGAGGTCAAAAAAGGGGCGGGGGGAGGGGATTAAGCAAACAAAAAGCTTTAAGAGTGACTTTTTTTCCATAGACTGCTTTTATGGATGTGCATTTCTTCTGTGCCTCTGTGTTCTGGAAACCTGGTGCTTGGACTTTCCAGAGGAGTTGGATGTGAACCAGTGAATGCAGCCAGTCATCACTGTAAAGTGGCTATGACCACTGGCTCTCTTCACTGTGATCTGCAGCGTGGAGGAGCATCTAATAGGCAGTTACCATATATGTTTTCCCTAATTAGCTTTCCATCTAGAAGCTGGTTCTCCTCTCCCATCCCTTCCCAGATTGATATCTTAACCTCTCCTCTGAGCTTCAAACTCAGCCAGCCATAGGCAGGCGTCTCAAACTTTGGATTCCCTCCCTACTTCAAACATGTTTCTCTCTAGTTTTCCTCATCGGCATAGATGTCCCCACTGTCCATCCAATTTGTTAGCTAAAACCCTGGGTTTGGGTGTTTTACCCTCATGCCCATCAACTCTACTGAACGTGTCTCACAGAAGTCCTTGTCTGTGTCCAGGGGTGGCCACCATCCTCACTGGCAGATGGTGGCGGTAGTCTCCTTGCTATACCGCTGCTGGTGCTCCTTTCTCCACCAGCAGGCAGAGTTGCATTTATAAAAATGTAGGCCAGAGCCGAGCCTCCCCTGCTTAAATATATAATTACAATATACATGGTCTGAGCCCACACTCACTCCTCCGTTGGCCTAGGAGGCTATTGGTCATCTGGCCTCTGCCTCCATCTGCAGCCTCATCCGTTCTCCAACCACTTGCACCAGCCCCAAGACCTTTGTTCTCTGGCTCAGTCACTAAGGCCTTCTCATTTGGTGGACCTTTGGCTTTAAAGCTCTTCCCTAGATCTTGGCTTGTTCCACCCCCTCCCCAGGGGGGCCTTTTCTGACCTCTGTGTCCAGGGGAGCCCCTGACTATCTCACATCACACTGCTTGCTTTTTATATACTTGTTAACTAGTTACTTGTTTCCCTCTAGAATGTAAGTTCTGTGTAGCCACAGGCCTGGATTCCCCTCCTGACCACTACATCCCCAGACCTGGCCTGCCCCATGTATATATGATATGACTGACCACATTCGTTGTTCTGTAAGGTTCTCTGCACACTGCCCTGACCCAAAAGCCCAGCCATGCTTCTCACCAGCCCTAGGAAACCTCATTCCAGGCTTCCCCCAAGATTTCTTATCTAGTTTCTCACCATAATAGGTCAACAATTATTGAGTGCTTCCTATGTGGCAGGTAGGGTCTCAAGTGCCCTATATGCACTGTCACCCTTAATTCCCATCGGCTTTATAGAGACAGACCCTTTCTTGGCAGAGAGGCCTGTGGGAGAGAGGGTTAGGAGCCTGCCTTCTGCTGCAGCCTCCAGGCCCCTGGGAGCATGTCTGGGAACAGATCGGTGGACGGTGTTGAGCCTCAGGAGCACAGGATAGCCCGATGGCCTGGTGTGGATTAGCAAACTCAGGCTCAGACTATAGGCCAGGGCTGGGATCCAAGCCTTGGTCTTTCTGACTTGGGTGCCTAGTTGCAGATAATAGAAACTCTTCTTGCAGTAATTAGAAAAATTGTAACGCCAGTATGTGTCTGCTTTTTAAAAGTTAGAGTCCCTTTGGTTGTAAAGCAACCCTAAGATCACAGATTAGCCTGTCTGATGCACAGTCCTGCTTCTCAGCCAGGCAAGATATTTAGCAGGCAAGACCTAAAGTTCTGTAGAATTCAGGGCGGATTAATGTGCGTCATAACTGATTTAATTAGGTCAGGAATGAGACAGGGTAAGAGGGCATCTGTTTTCAGTCTTCAGTTAAACTCAGGGATGATTTTATACTTATGACATACATGTTTTATGGGACATGGATCTCTGTAGAATTAAATTGGGCTGTTTCTCACAAATACAAACTTGTTCTCTTAAGTGGTTTTCCTCCCTTTTCAATTCAGTGTTAGTTTTTTAAAATTTTATATTTAACATGGGAGATACTTGATATTTTATAGGGGTTTGATGAAAACCTTGTTCTGAAGTGGGAATCTACTTCCCAGCATCTCGCGTTTAGTGGGAACTACTGCGTTGGTCCTCTTAGAGATGCATCCTTGCCTGCTGCATGTGCTAGCTGCCCAGACTGTGAGGACCTAAAGGTGTCCTGTTGACAGAGCAACTACCCATCCACCAATCTGTCCCCAGACACGCTCCTAGGGGCCTGGAGGCTGCAGCAGGAGGAAGGCCTCTCTGCCAAGAAAGGGTCTGTCTCTATAAAGCCGATGAAAATTAGGGAGACAGTACATATAGGGCCCTTGAGACCCTACCTGCCACATAGGAAGCACTCAATAATTTTGACCTATTATGGTGAGAAACTAGATAAATCTTGAGGGAAGCCTGGAAGTGATTGTGTTTAATTCAAAGCAGGCTTAGCATACACAGCTTAAGGCAACTTTCTTCTTACTATGACTTCAGGTGGGACAGGAAACTCTGCGCTGCTTGCTTCAGCCAGATTCTCCTTATATTGTGGTTGACTCACAAAACAGCCCTTGTGTAGGAATCAGGGCAAGGAAATCCAGTCTTCTGTTTTGCTATACATAAGGTTTGGGCCCTGAGAAGTTTTGAGGCTGGGCCAGAAACACCGTCATCATCTCAACGGCTCATAACACGCATTGTCCAAATTCGTGTTGGATGGGGTAGGACTGCTGGAGGGGAAAATGGGGGAGGGCACAATGCGGCGGGGCTACTGCACGGCTCCGCAGAGGTCACCTCTCTCAGCAGAGCACCACATCCTCAGTCTTGGAAGTCGGTTCTTCAGCAACTTCTTTGGGAACTGTCTTTTAAAAAAGGGGGGGGGATCCCTGGGTGGCTCAGCGGTTTAGCACCTGCCTTTGGCCCAGGGCGCGATCCTGGAGTCCCAGGATCGAGTCCCACGTCGGGCTCCTGGCATGCAGCCTGCTTCTCCCCCTGCCTGTGTCTCTGCCTCTCTCTCTCTTTCTCTATGTTTATCATGAATAAATTAATTAATTAATTAATTAATTAATAAACAACATGAGTTCTTTTAGTAAGAGATTTTTTTTCCTGCCAACATTCAGTAAACTTGATGGAAGGTATCACTTAATAATTAAAGTATTTGGGCCAATTTATTGGGCAACCAAACGTTACCTACGTAGTCTGTTTCAGGAGGCTTTTTTTTTTTTTTAAGATTTTATTTACTTGAGAGAGAGAATGGGCATGAGCAGGGGAAGGGACAGAGAGGGAGAAGCAGGCTCCTCCTTGAGCAGGGAGCCCAATAGGGGGCTCGATCCCAGGACCCTGGAATCATAACCTGAGCTGAAGACAGACACTCAACCAACTAAGCCACCCAGGCGCCGCCCCCTGAAGGCATTTGAAGTGACACTTCCCAGTAAAATTCTAGATGGATTCTTTCCTTCTGAAGAACTTGTGCTTCAGATCCTCACTATTCTCCCAGAAGTCTCTGCTGAACCACAGAAGCTGGAGTCCCTCTCCAGGGCCCAAGGTGGGAATTTGCAGGCAGTA